TTCTCAGTGTATATACACTGTGATACACATCTTCTCAGTGTATATACACAGATATATACATCTCGGATTATATTATAGATTTTTATAATTATGCAGAACGACAGAAGGATCGACCCCCATCCCGTCAAGAGGGAAACAGCAATGATGATAGGCACACGTGTTTCTGATAGGCCTAGAGGCCTCTAATCGAATTTCAGATAAGAGGAAACGAGAGATTTTCATTTTGATAGAAAAAATATATTTTGACTCGATTTGTGGCCTATGAGGGCCTGGTAATAGGCCTACCTCGCCGCGAGAGACGACAATGGACGTCTCTGTCGCTAGACGCACGGATTGTAGATGACATCAGCTGTCAGGAAGTCCGTGGAATGAGAAATCAGCTGTCAGGAAATCTCTGTCGGTTGAAAGCTCACAGAAAATGTCGGAATTGTTATTACTGGGAAAGTGTTGTTTGGAGTGACTGGCAGCACTTCCTCTCCAGCCACTGTCAGCACGATCTCCTTACAGTTGCTGTCAGCTTAACCTCCCTACAGTCACTGTCAGCTTGATCTTCCTATAGTCACAGTCAGCACGACCTCCCAAGCCACTGTCAGCACGACCTCCTCAAAGTCAGCGTCAGCTTGACCTCTCATGTTCCCAGAAATCCTCGAAAGATTTACTAAGGAGATTTATCCTGATCAGGTTGGGCCAGGAATCCATGTAACTGGATTAAGGATAATCACATCGGAGAGTTGAAAGTCAATGCCATCTGCATTTCTGAAGGTATTTCAGGCTTTCTGCTTCGGGCTAATTAATGTGGCTCTCTCAGACACACATGTATATACCAGAGGAGGGGCCAGGAGCTATGAATCGACCCCTGCAAGCACAAATAGATGAATACAAATAGGCGAGTTCACACACACACACACACACACACACACACACACACACACACACACACACACACACACACACACAGGTTCACAATGATGGTATGAGAACAGAGAGACAGAGAGAAACCAGCCATCCCATACAGAGGGAATTTGATGACCTTGTAGTGTCTGACATGAGAAACTTTGTTGATTTCCCTACTCATATCTCTGTCTCCTCCCTTGACCCAGTAGTAAGTGATCTGTCAGAAAGCATAGTCACCTGTCAACACCTCGGCTATGTTGGATCGTCTTACCACAAGACTGTTTTTACGACACTTAAGATCCCAATAGAACGAGGTGAGGAGTCCACACGCACAACCTGGCTATGGGAAAGAGTAAATTGGCCAACTCTCTGCTCTGAGCTGACCACCAAGTGAATGCCTTCACTAGACAAATCCGTAATCTACAACAAGAACACATCCCTCACCGGCAGTATGTGACGAAGCCTACAGATCAGCCTTGCTTCGACTTTCGTTGTAGAGAGGCTGCTACAGGTAAGTACAAGGCTTGGAGAAGATGTAAGAGACATCTCACTACCTACAACAAGAACCTGCACAGGCAAGCCAGTAAGCAAATGGGTGAGGTCCAAAAGTGGGACATCTGTAAATGGGAAGCGGACAAAAAAAGAAAACTGGCATCTGGTGGGGTGGGCTCCAAAACCTGGTGGTCCCTTGTCAAGGACAGAAAAGGTTGTCTGCCTGAATTTATTCTACCTCTAAATCGACAGGATGGGACCATCTCTGCTAACAGTTAAGAGACAGCTGACCTCTTTGCTGAATACTTGGCTGATCCAGCAAGGGACCCTCCTTGACTAGCTACAAGAACTGTGTCAAAGCTGTCAGTGGTGGCAATAAGGCAGGATTAGGTGCATCTTATTCTTAAGTCGCTTGGCCAAGAAAAGGCTGTGGGCCCAAGCAAGTTGAGCCCAAGATTGCTGAGAAGATGTGCAGACCAGCTAGCAGCTCCTCTAACTCGCATCTTTTAGCACTGCCTAGCAGTGTAAATGGCTTTCTCTATGAAAAGAGGCAAATGTGGTCCCTTTCACAAAAAGTAGAGCACAACGGAAATCAGCAACTACAGACCAGTGTCACCCCTGTCAATCACTGGCAAGATCCTCGAGACAATAACCTCACGGCAAATGACAGTTTTTGGAATACGACTCAATCTCGTGACCGTCAATATGGCCTCAGGAATGGTTACTGCGCTGCTGATCTGTTATTAAACCTCTCCACCAAGTGGCACCAAACACTCAATGAATCCAAAGTCAGCTGTCAAGTAGCACTGGACATTGCTGGTGCTTTCGGCTGAGTATGGCCCCCAGGAACTCTTGGCAAAACTACAAGCACTGGGAATTGCAGGCTGTACATTATGTCTCCTCAGTGACTACCTTCAAGGTAGGAATCTAAGCGTAGTTCTCAACGGGACAGAGTCAACAAGACACAATAATGGGGCAAGTGTTCCACAGGGATGTGTACTTGGGCCATTGTTATGGAATGTCTACTTCAATGACCTCCTTCATCTTCTCCCAGAATCCCATGCATATGCAGACGACTGTACTCTGACATTTACTTATCCAAGAGAGGACATGCCAGCTGCTCAAAGTTACATCAATCACCGGCTTACAGCTACATTAACCTGGTATAAATAATGCAGGTAACACTTGCTTTTGAGAAAACACAAATGATGGTCTCTAGGCACCATGATGGTATAAATAACAAAAAGGCACAATACCGTGACTGGAACGATACACAAATAACCCGCACATAAAAGAGAGAAGCTTACGACGACGTTTTGGTCCGGCTTGGACCATTGTGGCTTTGTCAATGGTCCAAGTCGGACTGAAACGTCGTTGTAAGCTTCTGTCTTTTATGTGCGGGTTATTTGTGTACCATGATGGTATGCTGGGGCAGTTGTAGGAATGAATGGGAGCGTGTTGGAGCCCAGGGTAGAAGATGATGTCCTTGGAGTGAAATTCGACTCCAAACTGACCATGAAGAACGATGTTGTAAATCTTGCAAACAAGGCGGCCAGGAAGCTAACAGCACTTCTGCGTATCTCGCATCTGCTCGACAATAGAGGTTGCAGGATTTTGTATGAAGCACAAGTACACTAACACCTTGAGTTTGCTCCACTTCCTTGGACTGTCTGCCCACCATCTCATCTGCGACTTTTTGACAGAACAGAGAAAGACGTCTCATCTCTCTTCTGGAGCCAGCCTGGATAAATCTGTCATTTTAGCAGAGCCTTCAACAAAGGAGGAAGATGGGTGGTCTTACTGTTTTGTACAAGGCCAATACTGTCAAAGTACCACACTTGGATCCACTCCCAGGACAGCGAGAAGTGAGCTTCTACACCACAAGACGGGCAGCAAGCAGCAACTACAATCTGACTGTACCCTTCTTCAGAACATCACTTCATCTAAGATGACTCGAGTCTGGAACATATTCGTTGACCAATTGAAATTGCTGTCCCACAGCTGGCTCACAGATGACACACAGCTGGCTTGCAGATGGCTTCAACTTCGTCCTGTTCCACATTTGTATGACTCATAACAATAAAAAGGCTTTTTAATGAGCTGATGTAAATTACAGCTTTTAACTTGTAAATCAAGTTAGCAACCTTAACCAACCTTATAAAACCCCGTGTACGAGAGAGAGAGAGAGAGAGAGAGAGAGAGAGAGAGAGAATGAGAGACAGAGATTTTAACCTATTTTCTCATTTTCCGCAGGTGGTTCGTGAGAGTTTTCACTACAGCTGGTGACGGGTCAGCTGGTGAAGGGTCAGCCGGAAACTACCCAGAAGGTGACAATCCAAGTGGCGACGGGTCAGCTGGTAACTACCCAGGAGGAGACGATCCACCTGGTGACGGGTCAGCTGACGACGATCCAGCTGTTGACGGGTTAGCTGGTAACTACCCAGGAGGAGACGATCCACCTGGTGACGGGTCAGCTGACGACGATCCAGCTGTTGACGGGTTAGCTGGTAACTACCCAGGAGGAGACGATCCACCTGGTTACTCGTCAGCTGGCGACGACCCAGTTGGTGAAGGGTCAGCTGATGGCGGGTCAGCTATCAGTCCAACTGGTGAGGGGCCAGATGTTGACCGAACGGACCAGTTGTCACAACAACAAGTGAATGAAGATGCGAACAGGAACAGTCAGGTAAGTCATGTTCAGTCCCAGTCAATCAGGCTCTGAAGACACTTTCACAATAATCATATCGTCATTTTCACAGTAAATATATAGTCACTTTCACAACAGCTGCACCCACACTTTCACAACAGGCGTAGAGACCCAGAGACAGGTGTAGGGAGCCAGGGACAGGTGTAGGGAGCCAGAGACAGGTGTAGGGAGCCAGGGACAGGTGTAGGGAGTCAGGGACAGGTGTAGGGAGCCAGGGATAGGTGTAGGGAGCCAGGGACAGATGTAGGGAGCCAGGGGCAGGTGTAGGGAGTCAGGGACAGGTGTAGAGAGTCACAAACAGATGTAGGGAGCCAGAGACAGGTGTAGGGAGCCAGGGACAGGTGTAGGGAGCCAGGGACAGGTGTAGGGAACCAGAAACAGGTGGTCACAAACAGATGTAGAGAGTCAGGGACAGGTGTAGGGAGCCAGGGGCAGGTGTAGAGAGTCACAAACAGAAGTAGGGAGCCAGGGACAGGTGTGGGGAGTCAGAGACAGTTACAAACAGATGTAGAGAGCCAGGGACAGAAAGTCAAACAGATGTAGAGAGCCAGGGACAGAGAGTCACAAACAGATGTAGAGAGCCAGGGACAGGTCTAGTCACAAACAGATGTGGGAGACCAGAAACAGGTGTAGTGAGCCAGAAACAGGTTTAGGGGAGCCACAGACAGGTGTAGGGAGCCACAGACAGGTGTAGGGAGCCACAGACAGGTGTAAGAAGTCACAGACAGGTTTAGGGGAGCCACAGACAGGTGTAGGTGAGCCACAGATATAGGGAGCCACAGACAGGTGTAGGAAGCCACAGACAGGGGTACAGAGCCAGAAACAGGTGTAGGGAGCCACAGACAGGTGTAGGGAGCCACAGACAAGCATAGGGAGCGACAGGTATAGGGACCCAGAAACAGGTGTAGAGAGCCACAGGCAGGTGTAGGAGCCACAGACAGGTGTAGGGAGCCACAGACAGGTGTACGGAGCCACAGACAGAGGTAGGGAGTCACAGACAGGTGTACAGATTCAGAAACAGGTGTAGGGAGTCACAGACAGGTGTAGGGACCCAGAAACAGGTGTAGAAAGCCGCAGACAGGTATAGGGAGCCAGAGACAGGTGTACAGAGCCAGAAGCAGGTGTAGAGAGCCACAGACAGGTGTACAGAGCCAGAAACAGGCGTAGAGAGCCAGGGACAGGTATAGGGAGCCAGGGACAGATGGTCACAAACAGATGTAGGGAGTCAGGGACAGGTGTTGAGAGTTACAAACAGACGTAGGGAGCCAGGGACAGGTGTGGGGAGTCAGGGAGAGGTGTAGAGAGTCAAACAGATGTAGAGAGCTAGTGACAGGTGTAGAGAGTCACAAACAGATGTAGGGAGCCTGGGACAGGTGTAGCCACAAACAGATGTAGGAGACTAGAAACAGGTGTAGGAAGCCACAGGCAGGTGTAGGGGAGCCACAGACAGGTGTAGGGGAGCCACAGACAGGTGTAGGAGTCACAGACAGGTGTAGGGTGCCACAGACAGATACAGGGAGCCACAGACAGGTGTAGAGAGCCACAGACAGGTGCAGGGAGCCACAGACAGGTGTAGGGAGTCACAAACAGGTGTACAGATTCAAAAACAGGTGTAGAGAGTCACAGACAGGTGTAGGGACCCAGAAACAGGTGTAGAAAGCCACAGACAGGTACAGGGAGCCAGGGACAGATGGTCACAAACAGATGTAGGGAGTCAGGGACAGGTGTTGAGAGCCAGGGACAGGTGTAGAGAGTTACAAACAGAAGTAGGGAGCCAGGGACAGGTGTGGGGAGTCAGGGACAGGTGTAGAGAGTCAAACAGATGTAGAGAGCCAGGGACAGGTGTAGAGAGTCACAAACAGATGAAGGGAGCCTGGGACAGGTGTAGTCACAAACAGATGTAGGAGACCAGAAACAGGTGTAGGGAGCCACAGACAGGTGTAGGGGTGCCACAGACAGGTGTAGGGGAGCCACAGACAGGTGTAGGAGCCACAGATAGGTGTAGGGTGCCACAGATATAGGGAGCCACAGACAGGTGTAGAGAGCCACAGACAGGTGCAGGGAGCCACAGACAGGTGTATGGAGCCACAGACACGTGTAGGGAGCCACAGACACGTGTAATGGAAAGCAGTAGGACTCCAGGAAATCAGAACAGGGGGGCACACCAGCAAGTGCTGGATGAGGTACATATAACCAAGGAGTAGGTGAAGAAGCTGCTATACGAACTTGACACCTCAAAGGCGGTGGGACCATACAACATCTCTCCATGGGTCCTTAAAGAGGGAGCAGAGATATTGTGTGAGCCATTAACAAAGATCTTCAACACATCATTTGAAACTGGGCAACTCCCTGAGGTATGGAAAATGGCAAATGTAGTCCCAATTTTTAAAAAGGGAGACAGACATGAGGCACTAAACTACAGACCTGTATCACTAACGTGTATAGTATGCAAGGTCATGGAGAAGATCATCAGGAGGAGAGTGGTGGGGCACCTGGAAAGAAACAAGTGTATAATTGACAACCAGCACGGTTTCAGGGAAGGAAAATCCTGTGTCACAAACCTACTAGAGTTTTATGACAAGGTGACAGAAGTAAGACAAGAGAGAGAGGGGTGGATCGACTGCATATTTTTGGACTGCAAGAAGGCCTTCGACACAGTTCCTCACAAGAGGTTACTGCAAAAGCTAGAGGATCAGGCACACACAACAGGAAAGGCACTGCAATGGATCAGAGAATACCTGACAGGGAGGCAACAACGTGTCATGGTACGCGACGAGGTGTCAGAGTGGGCGCCTGTGACAAGCGGGGTTCCACAGAGGTCAGTCCTAGGACCTGTGCTGTTCTTGGTATATGTGAACGACATAACGGAAGGGATAGACTCAGAAGTGTCCTTGTTTGCAGATGATGCAAAGTTAATGAGAAGAATCAAATCGGACGAGGATCAGGCAGGACTACAAAGAGACCTAGACAGGCTACAAGCCTGGTCCAGCAACTGGCTCCTTGAATTTAACCCTGCCAAATGCAAAGTCATGAAGATTGGGGAAGGGCAAAGAAGACCGCAGACACAATATAGTTTAGATGGCCAAAGACTGCAAACCTCACTCAAGGAAAAAGATCTGGGGGTGAGTATAACACCGAGCATATCTCCTGAGGCGCACATCAATCAGATAACTGCTGCAGCATACGAGCGCCTGGCAAACCTACGGATAGCGTTCCGAAACCTCAGTAAGGATTCGTTTAAGACTCTGTATACCATTTACGTCAGGCCCATACTGGAGTATGCAGCACCAGTTTGGAATCCACACCTAGTCAAGCACGTCAAGAAATTAGAGAAAGTGCAAAGGTTTGCAACAAGACTAGTCCCAGAGCTACGGGGATTGTCCTACGAAGAAAGGTTGAGGGAAATCGGCCTGACGACACTGGAGGACAGGAGGGTCAGGGGAGACATGATAACGACATATAAAATACTGCGCGGAATAGACAAGGTGGACAAAGACGGAATGTTCCAGAGAAGGGACACAGACACAAGAGGTCACAATTGGAAGTTGAAGACTCAGATGAATCAAAGGGATGTTAGGAAGTATTTCTTCAGTCATATAGTAGTCAGGCCATGGAATAGCCTAGAAAGTGATGTAGTGGAGGCAGGAGCCATACATAGTTTTAAGGCGAGGTATGATAGAGCTCATGGGGCAGGGAGAGAGAGGACCTAGTAGCAACCAGCGAAGAGGCGGGGCCAGGAGCTGTGACTCGACCCCTGCAACCACAAATAGGTGAGTACAGACACGTGTAGGGAGCCACAGACAGGTATAGGGAGCCACAGACAGGTGTAGGGAGCCACAGACAGGTGTAGGGAGCCACAGACAGGTGTAGGGAGCCACAAACAGGTGTAAAATACGGGGAAACTCTTGTAATAAGGCCAGAAACAAGTGTCAGATATTCTTTATGGTAATAATGAGAGTTTTTGCAGTGAGACACATTTGCATACCAAAGAGATATACCTCTTTCAACTCTCTTACTTTCTTTCTCATCATCTCTTCTCCTTCCTTTCTCATCTCTCATCCTTCCTTTCTCATCTCTCATCCTTCTTTTCTCATCTCTCATCCTTCCTTTCTCATCTCTCATCCTTCCTTTCTCATCTCTCATCCTTCCTTTCTCATATCTCATCCTTCCTTTCTCATCTCTCGTCCTTCCTTTCTCATCTCTCGTTCTTCCTTTCTCATCTCTCATCCTTCCTTTCTTATCTCTCGTCCTTCCTTTCTCATCTCTCGTCCTTTCTTTCTCATCTCTCGTCCTTCCTTTCTCATCTCTCATCCTTCCTCTTTCTCCATCTTTCCTCTTTCGTTTCTCATCTGCCCTCACTATCGTCTGTGTCTCACTTCTCATTTTTCAAGCTGTCTTTCTCATTCCAGCTCACCTTGTGAATATTCCTGTCTTTTGACAGGTGGCTTTGACAGCCAGGGTGGCTTTACGGAGGCCGTCACGTGATATTGGCTTGACTCACTACACCCGTCCAGGTAAGCCACTACACCTGTCCAGGTAAGCCAATACACCTGTCTAAGCAAGCCACTTCACCTGTCAAGGTAAGCCACCACACCTGTCAAGGTAAGCCACCACACCTGTCAAGGTAAGCCACCACACCTGTCAAGGTAAGCCACCACACCTGTCAAGGTAAGCCACACCTGTCAAGGTAAGCCACCACACCTGTCAAGGTAAACCACCACACCTGTCAAGTTAAGCCACCACACCTGTCAAGCTAAGCCACCACACCTGTCAAGCTAAGCCACCATACCTGTCAAGCTAAGCCACTACATTGTTGCAGCAGGTGGTGCAGCAGGTGGTGCAGCAGGTGGGAAAGGCATTTGAGTAAATCACCTCCGGGATTCTCCCAGGAAAGTTTACCTTCTGAGAGAATCCCCAAGTGATCATTTCACCCTCAGCATCCCTCCATCTCTCTCCCAGCATCCCTCTATCTCTCCCAGCATCCCTCTATCTCTTCCCAGCATCCCTCCATCCCACCCCCAACATCCCTCCATCTCTCTCCCAGCATCCCTCCATCCCACTCCCAGCATCCCTCTATCCCACTCCCAGCATCCCTCCACCCTTCCCTCCCCTCCATCCTTCCACATGGAGCGAAACGTGCACTAAACACCATACACATCCCAACACAAATCTAGAAACAGTAAGGAGGGAGCATCAATAAAACTACCAGAGTGTAGACCAAATATATATCTTTACTGACTGTTACAGTGAATATCTTTATTACAATAGGTATTGTAGATATTATCTATAATAGCTACTGTAATAATCTACAATATCCGACACTTAGGAATAGATAGAAGATAAAGCGGCAGTAGTAGCAGGTGGCGTCATACGTGGGCGAGGCCAGAAAGGCGCCACCCGTCTTTCTTATTCCATTAATGTTAACTGTAAGTTATAGGTTAATATGTGTTAACATAATCTTAACTAACAAATGTTAAATTTGAGAACAAAGAGCCGTAGACTGGAGGAGGCTGAACGCTGTAACTGGGAGATAACCACAGTTATCTTCCAGATAACTGGGAGATAAATACAGTCAATCTCGCCAGAACCACAGCAACACACTGGTAGAACCAAATCCACGTCCTGCTAGAACCACAGCCACATCATGCTAGAACCACAGCCACACCCTGCTAGAACCACAGCCACACCCAACTAGAACCCAACTAACTTACCATTCTCACTGCCCACAGACATGGTCCCACAGCTACAACCCAACTAACTCACCATTCTCTCTCCCACAGACATGACCTCACAGCTAGTACCCAGCTCACAATTCTCACTGCCCACAGACATGACCCCACAGCTAGAACCCAACTAACTCACCATTTTCACTGCCCACAGATATGGCCCCACAGCTGAGATACACGCCCATAGAACAGACAGTGTCACCAGGGTCACCAGTCTCGCTCAAGTGCTCTGCTGTGGGTAATCCAGTACCTGTCATTACCTGGACCAGGGATCACCAGCCCCTCCTTACTTCCCACAGGTAGGTCATTAGGTCTTCTTTTAGAGGTAGGTCACCAGGTTATCTCCCACAGGTAGGTTACCAGTCATCTTCAACAGGAAGGTCACCAGGTCATCTCCCACAGGTAGGTCACCAGGTCATGTCTCACAGGTAAGTCACCATCTCATCTCCCATAGGGAGGTCACCAGGTCATCTTCCACAGGTGGATCATCTTCCACAGGTAGGTCACCAAGTCGTCTCTCACAGGTAGGTCACCAGGTCATCTCCCACAGATAGGTCACCAGGTCATCTTCCACATGTGGGTCTTCTCCCACAGGTCTTGTTGTATGTATAGTTATGCTCAGTCACTGTTTCTCTCTCTCTCTCTCTCTCTCTCTCTCTCTCTCTCTCTCTCTCTCTCTCTCTAAGACATCTTGCCTCTCCTTTTTCGGATCAAAAATTTTCACAGACACAGACACAACTCTCATCATATTCTCTATCTCCTGTGTATATGATTCTCACTCAATTTTTTCTTGATTTCTGTTAGCTTCATTAAATCTGGATTCTCACCACATATCCTATCCTTAAGTCCTCTTGCTATTCACTCCTTGAAGCTCTTCGCTACATTTTATACAGGATATAAGACCTTGTCATCAAACTACCGCCCAATAAGCTTAACCTCATAAGTAATATTGATATCAGTAGAAAGCTTGACCTCACTAGTAAGCTTAACCTTAATAGTAAGCTTAACTTCAATAGAATGTCTAGTTGTTACTAGGCTAGCTAAGACACCTGCCTCACTAGGCAAGACAGGACAGGTGTATCTCTAACAAGAACAGGTGCATCAGTGCCCAAGACAGGTGTATTACTAACAAGAACAGGTGTACCACTACCCACAACAGGTGTACTACTACCCACAACAGGTGTGCCACTACCCACAACAGGTGTGTCACTGCCCACAACAGGTGTGTCACTACCCACAACAAGCGTATCACTAACAAGAGCAGGTGTCACTACCCACAACAGGTGTAGCGTCTCACGTCTCTCTCTCGCCCAGCAGGACTCGAGAAGGCAGCTTCAGAACAGAGCTGGGAGAAGTAGTTAGTCATGTGAACCTCAGCGATGTGACGGTACGAGACGGAGGATCGTATACCTGCACCGCGCATAACACCTTGGGATCAGTTGCGCACTCCGCCAGGCTTAACGTCTACGGTAATATATATATAATATAGGATTCGAAACCACTGGTTTCGTGATTTTGCTATACAGACTGCTTGTGGAGGCGGGTATTTGAACAGGAGGCTAAAATTAATCCTTAAGCATACCACTGCCACGAGTGTACTCGGATCACGAACAACACCTAGCTCTGCTGGGTGCGTGATCTTTGTAGGATCGATGGCTGAGTGGATAAGGTGACGTGTACATTGTGTTGCCTCTTCATGCGGGACAATGTGTAGTGGGGTCGAACCCTGGTCTGCCACAGTTAAGTAAATGATTTAAAACCACTTGATATATATATATATATGAGTGTGTGTGTGTGTGTGTGTGTGTGTGTGTGTGTGTGCTGCCGAAAGGTATAAATTGTGATTTTGGCTTAAATAACAATGCTCTTCTTGCCGAATAAAGCAAGCGAAAATTTGTGTATGCAATAATTTCGCAAAAATCATTCTGAAACTAACGAAAAAAATATATTTCATTGTGTTTATTAAATTATTGTAAACTAATGTAAACTTATTGTAAGTGTTCCATATATGTCTTATTTATCAACGAAGAAGGAGACAGTGTAATTTCTGGTAACGAAGGATTAGGAAGGCGATGTCTAATCGTTCCTCTGATTAATTCTTATTCCAATCACAGTCTCCGATTCGTTTCAGCGTTAATAGTTGACGTTGATGGGTCTCCACTTTAATAGCAGTCGTACTGATTGCTTCTTAACGTTAATGGAACTTGCTAACGATACCGGAGAGAGAGAGAGAGAGAGAGAGAGAGAGAGAGAGAGAGAGAGAGAGAGAGAGAGAGAGAGAGAGAGAGAGAGAGAGAGAGAGAGAGAGAGAGGGAGAGAGGGAGGGAGAAATTCTTAACCTGTAAATAGCTTGTCAATAAAGCTAGGGATCCTTAACCTAACTTTGTCAAACCCTGTGTAAGAGAGAGAGAGAGAGTGAGAGAGAGAGAGAGAGAGGGAGGGAGAAATTCTTAACCTGTGAATAGCTTGTTAATAAAGCTAGGGATCCTTAACCTAACCTTGTCAAACCCTGTGTAAAAGAAAGAGAGAGAGAGAGAGAGAGAGAGAGAGAGAGAGAGAGAGAGAGAGAGTACAGTATAGAAAACTATTAAAGTGACATGTATATTTCGTACAGGTCCTCCCTTTGTCAGAGAGATGCCCAACGTCACGGCTGTTGCTGGAGAAGACGTGTGGTTGTGGTGTCCAGCCGGAGGCTTCCCCACCCCCACTGTGACCTGGAGGAGAGAGGGACATGTCTTCCCCAACTCTCTCAAGTAAGTCTGATTAGTGTGGGCTGTGTGTGAAGTGGTGTAAGTTCGATTGTGGTTGCAGGGGTCGAGTCACAACTCCTGGCCCCTCCTCTTCACTTTTTGCTTCTAGGTCCACTCTCTGCCTGTTCAATGAGCTTTGTTGTGCCTTTTCTTATGTTGTGTTTGGAGTGGTGTGTGTGTGTGTGTGTGTGTGTGTGTGTGTACTCACCTAGTTGTACTCACCTAGTTGAGGTTGCGGGGGTCGAGTCCGAGCTCCTGGCCCCGCCTCTTCACTGATCGCTACTAGGTCACTCTCCCTGAGCCGTGAGCTTTATCATACCTCTGCTTAAATCTATGTATGGATCCTGCCTCCACTACATCGCTTCCCAAACTATTCCACTTACTGACTACTCTGTGGCTGAAGAAATACTTCCTAACATCCCTGTGATTCATCTGTGTCTTCAGCTTCCAACTGTGTCCCCTTGTTACTGTGTCCAATCTCTGGAACATCCTGTCTTTGTCCACCTTGTCAATTCCTCTCAGTATTTTGTATGTCGTTATCATGTCCCCCCTATCTCTCCTGTCCTCCAGTGTCGTCAGGTTGATTTCCCTTAACCTCTCCTCGTAGGACATACCTCTTAGCTCTGGGACTAGTCTTGTTGCAAACCTTTGCACTTTCTCTAGTTTCTTCACGTGTGTGTGTGTGTGTGTGTGTGTGTGTGTGTGTGTGTGTGTGTGTGTGTGTGTGTGTGTGTGTGTGTGTGTGTGTGTGTGTGTGTGTGTGTGTGAATTCTCCTCTGTTTTCAGGTTCCCATTTATTTGACTCGGTCTTTAACTTCTCTCAGGTGGCTCTCTCTCTCTCTCTCTCTCTCTCTCGAGAGAGAGAGAGAGAGAGAGAGAGAGAGAGAGTGTAGCAGGTGTCTTCAACCAGGTGTAGAAGAGGCAAATAGTGTATTTCATCTATAGTTGGTGTATTTGATCTGTAGTCAGTGTATTGCATCTGTATTTTGTGTATTACACCTGTCGTTACTAAATTACATCTGTCGTTAGTGTATTGCATCTATAGCTATTGTGTTGCATCTGCAATTTAAATATTTCAGACACGAGGTGCTGCTTAACGGGACTCTGGTAGTAAGATCAGCCACACACGAGGATGCTGGGCGCTACTCTTGCCTCGTCTCCGGCAGGCAGGGTCAGACAGCTGCCTCTCATACCTTCCTTCACGTTCTCAGTAAGTTCCTCCCACTTCTTTCCCTGCCTCCAGCCTCACACATTCTTGCTAGACCGAGGAAGCCAGCTACCTCAGTTAGTCAGTTGTGGGATCAGTCTATATCATCATTTCTACATGCACAAGGTATACAGACCATAGCTGACATCAGTGACATACTACTATATAGAAAGCCCCTTGTTATGCAGGTCATTCCTTGCAAATTATGTCAATTATATATGAGGTTTCGACCCACCCCATTTAACTAACACCCAGGTACCTATTTTACTGCTAGGTGAACAGTGACAGCAGGTGTCTTACGGAAACCGTCCTAATGTTACCACCCGTACCAGGGATCGACCCCCGGACCCCAGTGTGTGAGCTGAGTGCGCTACCAATCGAGCAATATTGAAGAATTTGCAGCACAGACTCTCGCTTATATACTTCGTCGGTCTTCAATTCCAAGGCTCAGGGACGGATTACCTCATATTTTGTATACAGTTTCACAGTCTTCTCATTATGTCCTATAATCTGTGTTGATAAAACTTCTGGACGGGCGAAACGTCTACTGATACCCAGATGTTGCACACGTGTCTAAGTCTTCATTCAGTAACTTACTAACTCTTTGTCTTCCAGGAGACTCACTGAAGCTCCCATCTACCAGTGCTTGACTGGTAGATGGGAACGATAGACAGTAGAGGTTCTTGACTGGTAGATGGGAACGATAGACAGTAGAGGTTCTTGACTGGTAGATGGGAATGATAGACAGTAGAGGTTCTTGACTGGTAGATGGGAACGATAGACAGTAGAGGTTCTTGACTGGTAGATGGGAACGATAGACAGAAGAGGTTCTTGACTGGTAGATGGGAACGATAGACAGTAGAGGTTCTTGACTTGTAGATGGGAACGATAGACAGTATAGGTTCTTGACTGGTAGATGGGAACGATAGACAGTAGAGGTTCTTGACTGGTAGATGGGAATGATAGACAGTAGAGATTCTTGACTGGTAGGTGGGAATGATAGACAGTAGAGGTTCTTGACTGGTAGATGGGAACGATAGACAGTAGAGGTTCTTGACTGGTAGATGGGAATGATAGACAGTAGAGATTCTTGACTGGTAGGTGGGAATGATAGACAGTAGAGGTTCTTGACTGGTAGATGGGAACGATAGACAGTAGAGGTTCTTGACTGGTAGATGGGAACGATAGACAGAAGAGGTTCTTGACTGGTAGATGGGAACGATAGACAGTAGAGGTTTTTGACTGGTAGATGGGAACGATAGACAGTAGAGGTTCTTGACTGGTAGATGGGAACGATAGACAGTAGAGGTTCTTGACTGGTAGATGGGAACGATAGACATAAGAGGTTCTTGACTGGTAGATGGGAACGATAGACAGTAGAGGTCTTGCAAGTCCACACCAGAACTATCTACTGACACCGAGTAGTCGATAGACTTAAAACACAATAACCAGTCAATCAATTTAAAACAATAACCAGTCAACCAATTTAAACCACAATAAACCAGTCAACCAATTTAAAATACAATAAACCAGTCAGCCAACTTAAAACCTTATAAACCAGTCAGCCAACTTAAAACCTTATAAACCAGTCAGCCAACTTAAAACCTTATAAACCAGTCAACCAACTTAAAACCTTATAAACCAGTCAGCCAACTTTAAACCTTATAAACCAGTCAACCAACTTATAATACAATAAACCATTCAACCAACTTAAAACATGTGTTACACATGTGTCTTGTTTATCAACCTGTGAACACTGAACACTAAGAATAAAGATGGAACGTGGAACGAGGTTCAACGAGGTATAAGGATTAAAAGATTTGTTGTGCAAGAATGGTATACAATACCGACATGTGTCATAGTCTCAAAAGATTTGTTACTGGGATGCTTAGAACTCAAAGGAATCTACATTCTAATCTCTCTCTCTCTCTCTCCCTTCTCTGTCTCTCTCTCTCTATAACACACATGCTCTTTAAGACACCTGTACAACCTTTCGCCTACAGAGCAGCCGTCTTCAGTCGAATACAGAGGCAGCAGATGTAGTAATGATACAGTCCATCAATCTTGGAGAAATAGTATTTCCTACCAGTGTCAACACACACAGTTTCCTTCCGCAGAACCACCGGAAATCGACACGTTTAACTTCCGGAGTAACTTAGAGGAAGGTCGCAGGATGCAGCTGTCGTGTACAGTCACTGCAGGAGACCTACCGATCACCATCAACTGGTTGAAAGACAACAGACATCTGCAACACGACCCTGACGTCGAGAGTAAACAGACTAGTGACTTTTCAATGGTGAGTACAGTGAATATCTGCTGGGTTGAATATGGTGAATATAGTGAATGTTTGTTGGACTAGATAGGTATCTATGGTGAGTACAGTGAATATTTGTTGGACTAGATAGGTATCTATGGTGAGTACAGTGAATATCTGCTGGGTTGAATATGGTGAATATAGTGAATATCTGTTGGACTAGATAGGTATCTATGGTGAGTACAGTGAATATTTGCTGGACTAGATACGTATCTATGGTGAGTACAGTGATTATCTGCTGGGTTGAATATGGCGAATACAGTGAATATCTGTTGGACTAGACAGGTATCTATGGTTAGTACATTTGACTGAAACGATGTTTCGCCCACCAGGGACTATTGGCGAAGTTCCCGGTGGGTGAAACGTCCCAGAATAATTCTGACCTTCACTTGTGAAGCCTTCGTTCTTTCTCCCTTTGAACCATTGTCAAGTTACAACTGAGTGAGAAGATAGAGAAGGTCAGAATACCAGACTGGAGGAACTGAAATAGTAGTAGTAGTAGTAGTAGTAGTAGTAGTAGTAGTAGTAGAAGCAGCAATAACAGTAGAAGTAGTAACAGTAGTAGTAATAATAATAGTAATAATAGCAGTAATAATATTAATAGCAGCAGAAGCAGTAGTAGTAATAGTAATAATAGTATTACTAGTAGTAATAATAGTAATAACAGTAGTAGAAGCAGCACTAGTAGCAGCAGTAGCAGTAGTAGTAGTAATAATAGCAGTAGTAGTAATAGTAGTAGTAGTAATAGTAGCAGTAGTAGTAATAGTAGTAATAGTAGTAATAGTAGTAGTAATAGTAGCAGTAGTAGTAATAGTAGTAGTAATAGCAGCAGTAGTAATAGCAGTAGTAGTAATAGCAGTAGTAGTAATAGCAGTAGTAGTAATAGCAGTAGTAGTAATAGTAGTAATAGTAAGAGTAGTAATAGTAGTAGTAGTAATAGTAGTAGTAATAGTAGCAGTAGTAATAGCAGTAGTAGTAATAGTAGTAATAGTAGTAGTAGTAATAGCAGTAGTAGTAATAGTAATAGTAGTAGTAATAGTAGCAGTAACAGTAATAGCAGTAGTAGTAATAGCAGTAGTAGCAGTAGTAGTAATAGCAGTAGTAGTAATAGCAGTAGTAGTAATAGTAGTAGTAGTGGTAATAGCAGCAGTAGCAGCAATAGTAGTAGCAGTAATAGTAGTAATAGCAACCATGTTAACACAGGTGTACTTTACTCGTGTTAGCAGATGTACCTTAAAGGTGTTAATACATTTGTACCTTACAGGTGTTAACACATGTGTACCTTACAGGTGTTAACACATGTGTTCCTTACAGGTGTTAACACATGTGTACCTTACAGGTGTTAACACATGTGTACCTTACAGGTGTTAGTCTTCAAGAAGCTGCGTGAGCATCACTCTGGCTCGTACACCTGCGAGGCTGCCAATGCTGCCGCAGCTGTCAACCACACTGCCACTCTCAGGGTCAAGGTGGGTCACCCAGGGTCAAGGTGGGTCACCCAGGGTCAAGGTGGGTCACCCAGGGTCAAGGTGGGTCACCCAGGGTCAAGCTAAGTCACACAGGGTCAAGCTAAGTCACCCAGGGCCAAGGTGGGTCACCCAAGGTCAAGGTGGGTCACCCAGGGTCAAGGTGGGTCACCCAGGGTCAATGTGGGTCACCCAGGGTGACGCTAAGTCATCCAAGGTCAAGGTGGGTCACCCAGGGTCACGATGGGTCACCCAGAGAAGACCTAGGTCACCTAGAGAAGAACTAGGTCACCCAGAGTCAAGCTAGGTCACCCAGAGTCAAGCTAGGTCACCCAGAGTAAGCTAGGTCAACCAAAGTCAAGCTAGGTCACCCACAGTCAAGGTAGGTCACTCAGGATCAAGCTAGGTCACCCGGTGTCAACCTGGGTCACGCAGACATAAGCTAGATCATCCAGAGTCAAGCTAGGTCACCCAGAGTCAAGCTAAGTCACCCACAGTCAAGGTTGGTCACCCCCAGTCAAGGTAGGTCACCCACAGTCAAGCTAGGTCACCCAGAGTCAAGCTAGGTCACCTACACTCAAGGTAGGTCACCCACAGTAAAGGTAGGTCACCCAGGATCAATGTAGGTCACTCAGAGTCAAACGAGGTCACCCAGATAGACTCAAGCTAGGTCAACCAAAGTCAAGCTAAATCACCCAGGGTCAAACTAGGTCACCTAGGGTCAAGTTAGGTCACCCAGGGTCAAGCTAGATCACCCAGGGTCAAACTAGGTCACCTAGGGCCATGCTAGGTCACCCTCATCACGAAAACCTTACTAACCAACATATGCAAAGGTCAGAATAACCCAAGGTCAACAAAGGTCACCCAAGAATATTCATGACCTAGACAACTAATCCTGACGTCAAGTATTATTTCACATTTAAATAATCTAGATTTAATGTTAGTTGAAATTTTGTCAGAAAGATTTGTATTGGTATATTTCTTTAGTATATACATTCTACTGGGATATTCTCTCAGTGTATATACACTGAAGTGTATATGTCTCAGTGTATATACGTTCTACTGGGATATTCACTCAGTGTATATACACTGAAAAGTCACTTTAACCTCAAACGATTTAAAGTATTCGTGGGTGGATTCTTGTTACAGGTGTCACTCCTACAGGTGTTATACTATGTTTACAGGTGTTATTCTATATTACAGGTGTCTCCCAAGTGGGTAGTGGAGCCAGGGGGTGGCACTGCTCTAGTGGGTTCCACAGTGGTACTGGATTGCTCGGCTCGAGGCTACCCCACACCTGTTCTCACCTGGATGAAAGCCCCAGGTGAGATAGATAGATAGATAAATAGATAGATAGGTAGATATATATAGATAATGAGATACAACCAACATTAAATGCACTATTACTTACGCAGAGCGCGTAGCAAGGTCAATAATTAAAGTGAACACTAGTAAGCACTCGTTAAACCAATCACCGTTTCGTTGAACTCTGCTCCTGGACCTCTTCACTGACCTTACTCAACATTACAACATAATCCATCTATAATTACACACACACACACACACACACACTATGGTAATAAAATCACAGTGTATATATATATATATATATATATATATATATATATATATATATATATATATATATATATATATATATATATATATATATATATATATATATATATATAAAATTAGAAGAGTGAAGCTTACACCATCACTTGCTTAGTGACCGTCTTTTGTATAGGTAAGGCAGCGCAGGACTTCCAGCCTGTAGTTGAGGATGGAGTGAGAACCTTACAGGCTGCCAATGGGTCTCTGGTCCTGCAGGAGACCAAGACCACTGATGCTGGGTGGTATCTCTGTCGGGCTGACAACTCCGTCGGTAAAGCCATCTCTAAGACGGTCCAGCTTACAGTCCACGGTAACATTGTCATTATCATTGTTAATGTTAGTATTATTACTATTATTGTGATTATCGTTCCTAATGATAGCTTCTACGGCTGTCTTCTCTCTGCTGACAGCTCCGGCCAGAGTGGTGACGGAGGGACGGCGGGTCACAGGTCATGCAGGCCAGACAGTGACGGTGACCTGTGAGGCGACAGGTGACGCCCCTCTGATCCTCACCTGGAGACGTCACCATGCACCCGTGTCACCTGGTCACAGGTAGGGTCATTAACAGCCCCCGTGTCACCTGGTCACAGGTGGGGTCATCAACAGCCCCCTCCCGAGTCACCTGATCACAGGTAGGTTTATTAACAGCCCCCCCGTGTCACCTAGTCACAGCTCCCCTGTGTCACCTGGTCACAGGTAGAGTCATTAACAGCCCCCCCCACATCTCCCTCTCATAGGACAAGTCATCAATACACATACCAGGCATCAACACACTATTAAACATCAACGCTCTTCTTGCCGAATAAGACAAGAGAACATTTGTTTATTTATATATATATATATATATATATATATATATATATATATATATATATATATATATATATATATATATATATATATATATATATATATATATCCATAAATTTATATTTGTGTCCAGGACATCGGTGCGAGAGAGCGAGGCTGGCGGTGTGGTTCAAGTCGCGCTTGAGATTAAGGCAGTGACAGCCGTAGATGCAGGTCCCTACACCTGTCGAGCAAGCAACCCGCATGGGGATCACGCGCAGGTGTTTGATATAGCTGTCATAGGTGAGTTCAACATCTGTTGCTAGGACACACACACACACACACAACACCTGTCTCAGATGGTTTGTCCTAATGGTGATGGTGTTTTTCCTCACCTGTGCCCTGCAGCACCTGTCATTCCTTGCAAAACGTCACAGGTGTTTAATAATGCCTGTCACTAACGTCTCCTTTAAATCTGCTGCAGGTGTTCCAACATGTATTGAAACACCTGCATTAGTTCCTTTGGTGCTTAAACATCCGCGACGATGCCGTCAGTCACACATGTTAAACAGATGTTAAACATGTGTGATTTTCATGTGTGTAATTTGTGACACACACACACACACACACACACACACACACACACACACACACACACACACACACACACACACTTACACACAGGACTGACACAGTATCGTCACCCACAGAGCCACCCACAGCACCAGCAGGAGTCACCATCAGCGAAGTCACCAGTCGCTCTGCTGTCATCTCCTGGACCCTGCCACAGCCTGCTGCCGTCACCATTCAGTATCGTGGTGAGTCCCCAGACAGCTGGTGAGTTTCCCCAGGCAGCTGTCGAGTCCCCAGACAGCTGGTGAGTTTCCCCAGGCAGCTGTCGAGTCCCCAGGCAGCTGGTGAGTCCCCTAGACAGCTGGTGAGTCCCCACACAGCTTAAAACATGACAACGTTCCCCTATTTTAAACGCCACATCTGTGTATGCTGTGTATATCTCAGTGTATACATACCGAGAGATGTATATCTCAGTGCATACGCACCAAGAGGTGCATATCTCAGTGTATATACACCGAGAGATGTACATATCTCTGTGTATACATACCGAGAGATGTACGTATCTCAGTGCATATACACCAAGAGGTGCATATCCCAGTGTATATATACTGAGAGATGTATATACCTCAGTCATGACCTCCTACCTTCAAAGTAACCCCAAATCCAGCTAAACATTTCTTAATCTTCACTCTCCTGTCCTTATCCCAGCCTCCGAGGAGGAGTCGTGGGCCATCCACGGACGGAACGTCAGCGTGGGACAGTGGGCCACGTCCCACGTCGTGACGGGACTGGCCCCTTACAAGAGTTACGACGTGAGACTAATGGCCCATAATGACCTGGGTGTCTCTCAGCCCTCACTCACACACGTCTTCACTACCACAGAGGAAGGTAAGATGATTTGCGTTTATATGGCAATACCAGGGCTCATACCAGGGCTAATACCAGGGTTAATACCAGGACTAATACCAGGGTTAATACCAGGGCTCATACAAGGGCTCATACCAGGGTTAATACCAAGGTTCATACCAGGGTTAATACCAGGGCTCATACAAGGGTTAATACCAGGGCTAATATCAGGACTAATACCAGGGTTAATACCAGGGCTAATACCAGGGCTCATAACAGGGTTAATACCAGGGCTCATGCAAGGGTTAATACCTGGGCTCATACCAGGGTTAATACCTGGGCTCATACCAGGGCTAATACCAGGGCTAATACCAGGGTTAATGCCAGGGCTCATACCAGGGTTAATGCCAGGGCTCATACCAGGGTTAATACCTGGGCTCATACCAGGGTTAATACCTGGGCTCATACCAGGGTTAATACCTGAGCTCATACCAGGGTTAATACCTGGGCTCTACCAGGGTTAATACCGGCCCCATAAACCCGGGGTTTAAAACCTGGGCTCATACCAGGGCTAATACCAGGGCCCAAAAACCAGGTTAATGCCAGGGCTCATACCAGGGTTAAAAGCCAGGCTCAACCAGGTTAATACCTGGGCTCATACCAGGGTTAATACCTGGGCTCATACCAGGGTTAATACCTGGGCTCATACCAGGGTTAATACCTGGGCTCATACCAGGGTTAATACCTGGGCTCATACCAGGGTTAATACCTGGGCTCATTCCAGGGTTAATACCTGGGCTAATACCAGGGCTAATAGCAGGGGCAATACCAAGGTAATACTAGAGCTGATATCAGGGCCAATACCAGAGCCAATACTAGGGTAATACCAGGGTGATACCAGGGTAATACCAGGACAAAGTATATACCAGGGTAATACCTCAGTGTTCTACACTGACCTTGGTGCTCTACACTGACCTTGGTGCTCTACACTGACCTTGGTGCTCTACACTGACCTTGGTGCTCTACACTGACCTTGGTGCTCTACACTGACCTTGGTGCTCTACACTGATCTTGGTGCTCTACACTGACCTTGTGCTCTACACTGACCCCTTTGGGGCTCTACACTGACCTTGGGGCTCTACACTGATCTTGGTGCTCCAACACTGACCTTGGGCTCTACACGACCTTGTGCTCTACACTGACCTTGGTGCTCTACACTGACCTTGGTGCTCTACACTGACCTTGGTGCTCTACACTGACCTTGGTGCTCTACACTGACCTTGGTGCTCTACACTGATCTTGGTGCTCTACACTGACCTTGGTGCTCTACACTGACCTTGGTGCTCTACACTGATCTTGGTGCTCTACACTGACCTTGGTGCTCTACACTGACCTTGGTGCTCTACACTGACCTTGGTGCTCTACACTGACCTTGTTCTGCCACAGCACCTTCTGGAGCGCCACAGGAGGTGAGGGTGACAGTAGGTGGCCCTCGCTCTCTCATAGTCACCTGGAGGTCACCTGCCCCCCAGCTCACCCATGGCACCCTCAGAGGATACACCTTGGCACTGCGTCGCCAGAACCTACAAGGTCACCTGACCTTCATCACCAGACCAGTCACAGGTGAGCCAGATGACACCTTAGTAACGTGTCGCCTTACTGAAGGTGACCTTACCTTAAAATAAGGTGACCTTTCCTTAATATGTAGGTAACCTAAAAACAAGTCACCTTACCTTAATATAAATCAATAAAATTATAACCAAAAAGAAAATATTCCATTATATAAATAAGGGAGATGTTCTTTAAACGTGTAAATGAGGGAGATATACTTTCAACGTGTAAATGAGGGAGATATACTTTCAACGTGTAAATGAGGGAGATTTACTTTCAACGTGTAAATGAGGGAGATTTACTTTCAACGTGTAAATGAGGGAGATTTACTTTCAACGTGTAAATGAGGGAGATATACTTTCAACGTGTAAATGGGGGAAAATTTATTTTCCCAGCGGTAAATGGGGGAGATTACTTTCAACGTGTAAATGAGGGATATACTTTCAGCGTGTAAATGAGGGAGATTATACTTTCAACGTGTAAATGAGGGAGATTTACTTTCAACGTGTAAATGAGGGAGATATACTTTCAACGTGTAAATGAGGGAGATATACTTTCAACGTGTAAATGAGGGAGATTTACTTTCAACGTGTAAATGAGGGAGATATACTTTCAACGTGCAAATGAGGGAGATATACTTTCAACGTGAAAAATGGGGGAGATTTACTTTCAACGTGTAAATGAGGAGATATACTTCAACGTGTAAATGAGGGAGATTTACTTTCAACGTGTAAATGAGGGAGATATACTTTCAACGTGTAAATGAGGGAGATTTACTTTCAACGTGTAAATGAGGGAGATTTACTTTCAACGTATGAGGGAGATTTACTTTCAACGTGTAAATGAGGGAGATTTACTTTAAACGTGTAAATGAGGGAGATTTACTTTAAACGTGTAAATGAGGGAGATTTACTCTCAACGTGTAAATGAGGGAGATTTACTTTCAACGTGTAAAATGAGGGAATTTTACTTCAACGGGTAAATGAGGGAGATTACTTTCAACGTGTAAATGAGGGAGTTTTACTTTCAACGTGTAAATGAGGGAGATTTACTTTCAACGTGTAAATGAGGGAGATATACTTTCAACGTGTAAATGAGGGAGATTTACTTTCAACGTGTGAGGGAGATTTACTTTCAACGTGTAAATGAGGGAGATTTACTTTCAACGTGTAAATGAGGGAGATATACTTTCAACGTGTAAATGAGGGAGATTTACTTTCAACGTGTAAATGAGGGAGATGTTCTTTAAACGTGTAAATGAGGGAGATATGTTTTCAACGTGTAAATGAGGGAGATATATTTTCAACGTGTAAATGAGGGAGATTTACTTTTAACGTGTAAATGAGGGAGATATACTTTCAACGTGTAAATGAGGGAGATATACTTTCAACGTGTAAATGAGGGAGATTTACTTTCAACGTGTAAATGAGGGAGATTTACTTTCAACGTGTAAATGAGGGAGATTTACTTTCAACGTGTAAATGAGGGAGATTTACTTTCAACGTGTAAATGAGGGAGATTTACTTTCAATGTGTAAATGAGGGAGATATACTTTCAACGTGTAAATGAGGGAGATTTACTTTCGACGTGTAAATGAGGGAGATTTACTTTCAACGTATGAGGGAGATTTACTTTCAACGTGTAAATGAGGGAGATTTACTTTCAACGTGTAAATGAGGGAGATGTTCTTTAAACGTGTAAATGAGGGAGATATGCTTTCAACGTGTAAATGAGGGAGATATACTTTTAACGTTTAAATGAGGGAGATTTACTCTCAACGTGTAAATAAGGGAGATTTATTTTCAACGTGTAAATGAGGGAGATTTACTTTAAACGTGTAAATGAGGGAGATTTACTTTAAACGTGTAAATGAGGGAGATTTACTTTCAACGTGTAAATGAGGGAGATATAATTTCAAAGTGTAAATGAGGGAGATTTACTTTCAACCCGTAAATGAGGGAGATTTACTCTCAACGTGTAAATGAGGGAGATATACTTTCAACGTGTAAATGAGGGAGATATACTTTCAACTTTAAAAATGGGGGAAAATATACTTTCTACGTGTAAATAGGGAGATTTACTTTAAACGTGTAAATGAGGAGATTTACTTTCAATCGTTAAAAGAGGGGACCCTTGAAACGAGAGAGAGACAGGTAGACGCGGACGAAGTGAGAGGTCACTGAGGGGCAGCCCGCCGAATAGTTGTCTTCAGTCCATAAATTTCTTGATGGACAAAAAAGATCGACTCCAGAGGGACCGATTACCCCAAACTCCTCTTCATCTTCCACCGTTCTTCCCTGTAATAGACTGAAGAAGTCACTAACTGGTGAAACGTTCCCAGAATGTTGTGCAAGAGTTTCAGTTTTCAACCTGTCCGGTTTTTAAAACCACTTGCATCACATTCAGGCCTATGCATAGGCCCCCCAAAAAAACATTTTGATTCATAGTTAAACTGTTTTGTTCCTCTCTGATGTTTTCACTGCTCTTTCGAGATAGATTTGGACGGTGTGGAGAGGTACGAGGTGCGAGGCCTTACCCCGGCTCCCTCTTACGAGGAAAGCAGTTAGAGCCTTCACCAAGCGGTCCAGACCACTCCTTCCCCCAGGATATTCGACTCTACTAGCCACAAAGGGTTAACCAGTGTGTTGCTACACATTCAATAATATTACACTGTGGGAACACCACAGTGTTGCACAACTATTCTATATGATATTTTACATTGTGGGAACACCAGCAGTGTTGCTACACTATTCTATATGATAGTTACACTGTGGGAACACCAGCAGTGTTGCTACACTATTCTATATGATAGTTACATTGTGGGAACACCAGCAGTGTTGCTACACTATTCTATACGATAGTTACATTGTGGGAACACCAGCAGTGTTGCTACACTATTCTATACGATAGTTACATTGTGGGAACACCAGCAGTGTTGCTACACTATTCTATATGATAGTTACATTGTGGGAACACCAGCAGTGTTGCTACACTATTCTATATGATAGTTTCATAGTGGAAACAAATGCTAGCTAGGTTTTGCTATGGATTCAATTGATGGTATCAACAAACCTTCCACAATGGATTCAATTGATGGTATCAACAGCTAAAGATTCACTGGATGGTCAAAGCTACATTTGAATCCCTTCGTCAAATTAGTCTCTCTCTCCTCCTCTTCCTTCCTTCTCTCTCTCTCTCTCTCCTCTTCGTTCCTTCTCTCTCTCTCTCTCTCCTCTTCTTCCTTCCTTCTCTCTCTCTCTCTCCTCTTCCTTCTCTCTCTCTCCTTCTCGTCTTCCTTCTCATCCCACGGTACTAACTCCTCCTCGTCTCCTGCAGCGCCTTCCTGCCCTCCTGCAGGAGTCTCCTGCCGAGGTTCTGGTCGTGGAGGCGTGCGTGTCTGGTGGTCACCCCCGCCCACACACTGCGCCCACGCCCCTGTTTCCGCCTACACCATAACAGCCATACCCACCACCCACGCCCACCGCGCCCCAGACAGTAAGTTCCAACCACGAACGACAGTGGCCAAGGCCTCAGGAGCGAAATGTGCTCAACAAACACGTTTAAACATACCTTTTAGATGTTTCTACTGTGGCAACGTTTCGCTCTATATAGAGCTTGATCGAGTCGTAAGATCTGATAAACTGATAAAGCTCTACACAGAGTGAAACACGACTAGATAAAGCTCTACACAGAATGAAACACGACTTGATGAAGCTCTACACAGAGTGAAACACGACTTGATAAAGCTCTACACAGAGTGAAACACGACTTGATAAAGCTCTACACAGAGTGAAACACGACTTGATGAAGCTCTACACAGAGTGAAACACGACTTGATGAAGCTCTACACAGAGTGAAACACGACTTGTGCAAGAAAGGTATAAAATCCCGACAATATGAAAGTTAAGACACATGTGCAACATCTGGATATCTTTATTGTAGACGTTTCGCCATCCAGTGGCTTTATCAATACAGATTCTAGGACATAGTAGGAAGACAGTAGAACTATATACAAAAGATGAGGTAATCAGTCCCTCGGCCTTGGAGTTAGTGTTCACAGCATCGTGGTGGAGGAGAATCTGGAGCAAAGGCAAGAAGACTGGCGTTTATATAGGCGTCAGTGGAAGGGACGGGCAGCAGACGAGGGCAGTCACTGGTAGGCGGGATTCCCCAGTGGAAGTAGGTCCTTCCCAAAGAGATGGGTTAGTTGCAGCAGCCGTGAAGAAGGTCTTGTAGATGTCCTCTGAACCAAGATTCCATGATGTTGCAGTGTCTGACAAGTTGTGCAAGAAAGGTATGAAATACCGACAATATGAAAGTTAAGACACATGTGCAACACCTAAAGCTCCAGATTCTCCCCCCACCACGATGCTGGGGAACACTAACTCCAAGGCCGAGGGACTGATTACCTCATCTTTTGTATATAGTTCTACTGTCTTCCTATTATGTCCTAGAATCTGTATTGATAAAGCCACTGGTTTGGGGAAACGTCCCACAATAAAGATACCAATGTTGCACATGTGTCGAAACACGACTTGATGAAGCTCTACACAGAGTGAAACACGACTTGATAAAGCTCTACACAGTGAAACACGACTTGATAAAGCTCTACACAGAGTGAAACACGACTAGATAAAGCTCTACACAGAGTGAAACACGACTAGATAAAGCTCTACACAGAGTGAAACACGACTTGATAAAGCTCTACACAGAGTGAAACACGACTTGATAAAGCTCTACACAGAGTGAAACACGACTTTACAAAGCTCTACACAGAGAAACAGAGACTGAGTATGTTGGAAATTTTAAGCTTAGAGAGCGCCAGAGTAAGAAACACTAGTTTTCAGAGTGCGTGTCACTAGGGATGTATAAACTAGTTTACTGTTGTTTGTTAGACAAACTACTGTCTAGTATTGTTTGCTAGGCAAAGAATGCTGCATCCTTGTTTTTCCCCTTTAAAAATGTTGTCTCTGTTCACTAGCAGTAAGTAGGTTCCTGGGTGTTAGGCTGGTGTGGGGTGGGATCCTGGGTGTTAGTGGGCTTGTGTGGGGGGCAGCCTGGGAGATTAAGATTAAAGGGCCACAATGGAAATAAGACAGTCCTCGATGACTCACTGACTTTCTTGGGCTATCTTGGGTGGCTAACCCTCCCTACCCCATGTAACCCTGGGTGGCTAACCTTCCCTACCCCATGTAATCCTGGGTGGCTAACCCTCCCTACCCCATGTAATCCTGGTAGCCTAAACCCTTTCCCCACCCCATGTAATCCTGGATGGCTAACCTTCCCTACCTCATGTAACCCTGGGTGGCTAACCCTCCCTACCCCATGTAACCCTGGGTGGCTAACCCTTTCCCTACCCCCTGTAATCCTGGGTGGCTAACCCTCCCTACCCCATGTAATCCTGGGTAGCTAACCTTCCCTACCCCATGTAATCCTGGATGGCTAACCTTCCCTACCTCATGTAATCCTGGGTGGCTAACCCTCCCTACCCCATGTAATCCTGGGTGGCTAACCCTCCCTACCCCATGTAATCCTGGGTGCCTAACCCTCCCTACCCCATGTAATCCTGGGTGGCTAACCTTCCCTACCCCATGTAATCTTGGGTGGCTAACCCTCCCTACCCCATGTAATCCTGGGTGGCTAACCCTCCCTACCCCATGTAATCCTGGGTGGCTAACCCTCCCTACCCCATGTAATCCTGGGTGGCTAACCCTCCCTACCCCATGTAATCCTGGGTGGCTAACCTTCCCTACCCCATGTAATCCTGGGTGGCTAACCTTCCCTACCTCATGTAATCCTGGGCGGCTAACCCTCCCTACCCCATGTAATCCTGGGTGGCTAACCCTCCCTACCCCATGTAATCCTGGGTGGCTAACCCTCCCTACCCCATGTAATCCTGGGTGGCTAACCTTCCCTACCCCATGTAATCCTGGGTGGCTAACTCTACCTACCCCATGTAATCCTGGGTGGCTAACCTTCCCTACCTCATGTAATCCTGGGTGGCTAACCCTCCCTACCCCATGTAATCCTGGGTGGCTAACCCTCCCTACCCCATGTAATCCGGGTGGCTAACCCTCCCTACCCCATGTAATCCTGGGTGGCTAACCCTACCTACCCCATGTAATCCTGGGTGGCTAACCCTCCCCTGGGCTACCCCATGAAACCCCGGGGGTGGCAAAACCTTTCCCCCTCCCCCTTTGTAATCCTGGGGGGCCCTTAACTCAAACCCCCCCCAAATTAATCCTGGGTGGCAAAACCCTCCCTTTAACCCCATGTAATCCTGGGGGTAACCCTCCCTACCCATGTAATCCTAGGTGGCAAACCTTCCCTCCCAAATGTAATCCTGGGTGGCAAAACTCTCCCTCCCCCCTGAAATCCCGGGGTGGCAAACCCCTACCAAACCCCATGTAATCCGGGGTGGTAACCTCCCTACCCCAAAGTAACCCCTGGGTGGCAAACCCCTCCCCGGGGCTAAAAACCCCAAATTTTTATTTTTTTCTTTACCCTTCTCTCCACCGTCATGTAGATCGGATTGGGAGGAAAAACAAAACCCAATTTTGGAAAAGAATTTGGGAAAGGTCTTCCCTCCGCTCCCAAACATCGGGCGCCCGTTTTCAAACCCTTTTAAAAGATGTAGGATTTAGCCCCCCAAAACCTTTCCTGTCTTCTGCCTCCCGGGGGGGAGGGAGGGTGGGGAATCTTATTTGGAAAAACCCTTTAAAGTAAAAACTCCCGTTAGCAATGAAAGGGGTTTAAACCACCAGGGGTCACTATTTAATCCCCACTAAAACTTTAGCAGTAACATATGTAACTCAAAACTCTAGAAATCTATTCTAACATTTTAACAATGAATTTCTAATTTTTAAACAACGTTATTTTAAAATTAAAAAAATTTTTCCCTAAGTTTTAAAGGACAACAGTACAAACCTGCCTCAAACTTCCTGCTGTCACAGTGCCAGCCACCCCCGAAGTTTTGAGAGTGTGGTGACAGGAGGCCCACACTCCTCGTAACCTGGGTGCCCCCCACCTTATACTGGGGCCATATTTCACTATACCTTCTACTCTGCTAGGGGTATCAGGTGAGGGGGGGGGGATGGGGTTAGATGGGGGGGGGCCCGGGGATGGGTGGGTGAGGGGTTTTTAGGGTGTTGGTTTAGGTTGTGGGATGATGGTTTTTAGGGTGTGAAAGATCAGGTGAGGGGTGTGGGATGATAGGTTTGAGCTGGGGGTGATAGGCGAGGCTGTGGGATGATTAGTAAAGCAGTGGGATGATGGTTGAGGTTGTGGGGTGATAGGTGAGGCTGCGGGGTGATTAGGTGAAGCTGTGGGATAATATGTGAGGCTGTGGGATGATAGGTGGTGCAGTGGGATGACCAAGTGAGGCTGTGGGATGATAGGTGAGGCTGTGGGATGACAGGTAAGGCTGTGGGATAACCAAGTGAGGCTGTGGGATGATAGGTGAGGCTGTGGGATGACAGGTAAGGTTGTGGGATAACCAGGTGAGGTTGTGATACGATAGGTGAGGCTGTGGAATGATAGGGGAGACTGTGGAATGATAGGGGAGGCTGTGGAATGATAGGTGAGGCTGTGGAATAACCAAATGCAGTGGGAACAGGCAAGATACCTAGAGAACGGTTCGTCGGATTGTCTCTAAACTTTCAATAGTAATTTATCTTAATATTTCGAGATAGTGGATAAATATTGCAGACTTATATACATAAATCTATTAAGAATATTAAGGTATCGGACCTCAAAAATTAATATAGGCCTATAAGAAATGTATATAGCCTACCAGAGAAGAGAGAGATGAAACAGGTGGTGTTTTACAGGTGGCAGTGAGAGATGTGGTAGGTGCTGGAGGTTCTGAGGCCACCTGGAGGGAACTGACTGGCCTGACACCTACCTCCAGGGTCCAGGTGAGGTTTAACAAACTTGTTTTTGCAACTTAAACCAGTCAAGTTATGTGACTGTAGTGCCTAACTTTGAACAAAGTTATGACATCAGAGTTCCTAACTTGGAAAAAAAAAACAAAGTAACAAACTTTGAATACCAAATTAACAAAGTAAATATCCAGTAGGCTTATGGATGAAATATCCAGTAGGCCTATGGATAAAATATCCAGTAGGCCTACGGATGAAATATCCAGACCTATGGATAAAATATCCAGTAGGCCTATGGATGAAATATACAGTAGGCCTATGGATGAAATATCCAGTAGGCCTATGGATGAAATATCCGGTAGGCCTATGGGTTATCCTAGGATAAGTATACTTGATATACCAGAGATATGAGTTATCCTAGGATAAGTATACTTGATATACCAGAGATATGAGTTATCCTAGGATAAGTGTACTTGATATACCAGAGATATGAGTTATCCTAGGATAAGTATACTTGATATACCAGAGATATGAGTTATCCTAGGATAAGTATACTTGATATACCAGGGATATCCGCGTGGTCTTAAGGCTATTCTACAATGGGCTGGTTTTATACAACACTGGGATACCTTTCTGGGATACTTGAGGTATACAGGACTGGGATTATACCACACTGGGATGCCTCTCCCAGCTGATGCCACGACTGTCAGATGGTTCACCCCACAGGTATGGGTGACAGCCACTACAGTAGCTGGGGAAGGCAACCCATCACCCAGGCTGACAGCTCTACCCACCCCAAAGCCCACCCACGCCCCCGTGGCTGTGGGTGGTGGGCGGACGTGGAGGGTGGGTTCTGGAGCAGGCGTGACACTGGGTTGTCGTGGGCTGGGGTCGCCAGCCCCTACAATAGGCTGGACCAGGGCTGGCACAACTGTCAGCAGTGGTCAGCTGACACAGCTGTTACCTGGAGGAGACCTGCATATTACAGGTGGGTGGTTGTAGTTGTTGTAGTTACAGAAGTCATAGTAGTTGATGGTCTTAGGTCTACCCGCAACTAGGCCTACTAACCACTATTTCAAACCAATCTTATTTCTCTGCTATCACCCCCAGCTGTCAGAGAGAGCACCAACTACACCTGCTGGGTCCGTAACAGCGTGGGCGCTGACAGCCTCACTCACCAGGTGATAGCTGTCACTCCGCCCACACCGCCCACACTGGCCCTCTCACACGCCACCCATCACGCCCTCAACCTCACTATTACGCCCACTTTTGACGGAGGGGCACCCATTCTAGGTAATATATATATATATATATATATAATATATATATATATATATATATATATATATATATATATATATAATAATTAGCAACTAACCATGTGTGTAAATATTAAATATTTGTATAAATATTGTAAATCTGTAAATACTGCAATGATAGAAATACCTTTAAAAATTGCTCTCTCTCTCTCTCTCTCTCTCTCTCTCTCTCTCTCTCTCTCTCTCTCTCTCTCTCTCTCTCTCTCTCCACAGGATACACGGTTCACCACCGTGGGCGTGCAGGAGAGTGGGTGGAGTTGGGCGTGTCACCGGGCGTAGGCGGGGTACTGGTGGGCGGTTTACCGTGTGGAGCACCTCACCATCTGTACCTAACTGCGTGGAACACCCTGGGCACCAGTTCTCCCAGTCCAGTTCTGATAGCAAACACACTGGGCAGCCGTGAGTACACTGGGTGCAACGACACGCACTGTCTTGCTACACTATTCTGTGTGGTAGTTACACTGTGGGAACACCAGTAGCACTGCTACACTATTCTGTGTGGTAGTTACAATGTGGGAACACCAGTAGCACTGCTACACTATTCTGTGTGGTAATTACAATGTGGGAACACCAGTAGCACTGCTACACTATTCTGTGTGGTAATTACAATGTGGGAACACCAGGAGCACTGCTACACTATTCTGTGTGGTAGTTACAATGTGGGAACACCAGTAGCACTGCTACACTATTCTGTGTGGTAGTTACACTGTGGGTACACCAGTAGCACTGCTACACTATTCTGTGTGGTAGTTACAATGTGGGAACACCAGTAGCACTGCTACACTATTCTGTGTGGTAATTACAATGTGGGAACACCAGTAGCACTGCTACACTATTCTGTGTGGTAGTTACAATGTGGGAACACCAGTAGCACTGCTACACTATTCTGTGTGGTAGTTACAATGTGGGAACACCAGTAGCACTGCTACACTATTCTGTGTGGTAGTTACACTGTGAGAACACCAGTAGCACTGCTACATTATTCTGTGTGGTAGTTACAATGTGGGAACACCAGTAGCACTGCTACACTATTCTGTGTGGTAGTTACACTTTGAGAACACCAGTAGCACTGCTACACTATTCTGTGTGGTAGTTACAATGTGGGAACACCAGTAGCACTGCTACACTATTCTGTGTGGTAGTTACAATGTGGGAACACCAGTAGCACTGCTACACTATTCTGTGTGGAAGTTACACTGTGGGAACACCAGTAGCACTGCTACTCTATTCTGTGTGGAAGTTACACTGTGGGAACACCAGTAGCACTGCTACACTATTCTGTGTGGAAGTTACACTGTGGGAACACCAGTAGCGTTGTTACATTATTCTGTGTGGTAGTTACAATGTGGGAACACCAGGAGCACTGCTACACTATTCTGTGTGGTAGTTACACTGTGGGAACACCAGTAGCGTTGCTACATTATTCTGTGTGGTAGTTACATTATGGGAACACCAGGAGCGTTGCTACACTATTCTATATAATAGTTACATTGCTGTACTTAGGTTACCTGCCTGGGGGAAGTAACTACACACAGATAGCTGAGTTAGCGCTGCCAGTCCCAGGTAGTTATACCGACGCCCAGTACCGACCACCCACTCGGTCGTTTCTCCACTCCCAATATCACCACCATGAATACCCTACGTAGTTCTTGTTTCTTATTTAAGTGCGTAAGAACTTAAGAAAGGAAGAACACTGTGGCAGGCCTACTGGCCCATACCAAGCAAGTTCTCAAACCCAAACCCTGAACAAAAATATTTACCCAAACCATTTTTAATTCTACCCAAGGAATAGGACTTAAGAAATCGTAATGACACGATTGCAAATAAACCATACCCCCGGCCGGGGGTATGGTTTGTTTTTTCAAGGAATAGGGTTTGATAACCCCGTTTAACACCATCCATATAATAATAATAATAATAATAATAATAATAATAATAATAATAATAATAATTTTTATTTCAGCAAATACGGTGTATCTACAGAGATGGGTAACATATTTTGTTAATATAGAAAGCCCATAGCTCAGTGGGAGTTAAACTCTATACATCTCTCTCTCTACAGAGCCTGGCAGACCTGACCCAGCTAGACTTGTAGAGGTCAACAACACCTGTATAACTCTCCGCCTGTATATGTGGCCTGAGTTTGGATGTCCTGTCACCCACTGGAAGGTACGTTAGTAAGTAAACATAACGTGGTTAGATAGCTGGTTCCAAAGTCTGTCTACTACACGAGGGTCATTAAAGCTACATGTTACCTATTCACCACCAGTCAAGAATACCTAACTTAGTGATTAATGTAAATTCTATACGTATATATATATATATATATATATATATATATATATATATATATATATATATATATATATATATATATTAAGAGAGAGAGAGAGAGGGAGAGAGAGAGAGAGAGAGAGAGAGAGAGAGAGAGGGAGGGAGGGAGTGAGATGTGCAGAATAACCACTGTGAAAAGATACTAGAATTCCAAGCGCTTTCGTGATTCTTCACATTATCAAGGAACTACAAAAGTAAATAGAACTTTATAAGGCTGAGATATCACCTTACATAAGATTATTATTATTATTATTATTATTATTATTATTATTATTATTATTATAACTAAATAATTATAATTATATCTTGGCTGCAGGTAGAACTTGGTAGTGAAGAAGTGGGTGTGTCGTGGTCAGTCTTACACACCCACGTAACCCCTGACACCACTGACCTGGGTGTGTGTGACCTGACCTCAGGTACGTGGCACCTCCTCCGTGTCACCGCCTCGTCTACCGCCGGTGACACTGCTGTAGTCTACAGAGTAGCCACGGCAGATCACGTCGGTGGGTCTATGACAGCTGAGTCAGTTCAGGAGGTGGTGGTGGGTGGCACTGTGGGCGTGGGTGGGTGGCTGGACGCCCACATTGTTGCGGGCGTGGTCAGTGCCCTCCTGCTAGCGGCTGCGTTTATTATCTGCGTCTGCGTCGCCCTGAAGAGACGCAGATATGGGGGATATAGGTGAGTCTGCTCCGGAGGTGATCAAATAAGCGAGTCTGCTGGCCAAGTGATCAAACAGGTGTCTGCTGGCCAGGTGATCAAACAGGTGAGTATGCTGGCCAGGTGATCAAACAGGTATCTGCTGGCCAGGTGATAAAACAGGTGTCTGCTGGCCAGGTGATCAAACAGATGAGTCTGCTGGCCAGGTGATCAAACAGGTGAGTCTGCTGGCCAGGTGATAAAACAGGTGTCTGCTGGCCAGGTGATCAAACAGATGAGTCTGCTGGCCAGGTGATCAAACAGGTGAGTCTGCTGGCCAGGTGATCAAACAGGTGTCTCCTGGCCAGGTGATCAAACAGGTGTCTGCTGGCCAGGTGATCAAACAGGTGTCTCCTGGCCAGGTGATCAAACAGGTGTCTCTGCTGGCCAGGTGATCAAACAGGTGAGTCTGCTGGCCAGGTGATCAAACAGGTGAGTCTGCTGGCCAGGTGATCAAACAGGTGTCTACTGATCAGGTGATGAAACAGGTGTCTGCTGGCCAGATGATCAAACAGGTGAGTCTGCTGGCCAGGTGATCAAACAGGGAGTCTGCTGGCCAGGTGATCAAACAGGTGAGTCTGCTGACCAGGTGATCAAACAGGTGAGTCTGCTGACCAGGTGATCAAACAGGCGAGTCTGCTGGCCAGGTGATCAAACAGGTGAGTCTGCTGGCCAGGTGAACAAACAGGTGAGTCTGCTGGCCAGGTGAACAAACAGGCGAGTCTGCTGGCCAGGTGATCAAACAGGTGAGTCTGCTGGCCAGGTGAACAAACAGGTGAGTCTGCTGGCCAGGTGATCAAACAGGTGAGTCTGCTGGCCAGGTGATCAAACAGGCGAGTCTGCTGGCCAGGTGAACAAACAGGTGAGTCTGCTGGCCAGGTGAACAAACAGGTGAGTCAGGACCACAGATGAGTAAGTTACACCTCCAGCTGAAGCTGTACATGAGTAAGACTCTTATCTGGTACTCACCCAGTGACGAAAATTGCTTGCTTTAAGTTTCAATCTTATCTACTACACGAGGGTAATTAAGATTCACCTGTACACCACCAGTCAAGAATACTTTAATACCTAAAATACAAATCACAGTCAACTTGCAGAGTATATACACTAGGAGATATACACATCTCGGTATATATACACTGAGAAGTATATACACCGGGAGATAAACACATCTCGGTATATATACACTGAGAAGTATATACACCGGGAGATAAACATCTCGGTATATATACACTGAGAAGTATATACACCGGGAGATAAACACATCTCGGTATATATACACTGAGAAGTATTTACACCGGGAGATATACACATCTCAGTATATATACACTGAGAAGTATATACACTAGGAGATATACACATCTCGGTATATATACACTGAGAAGTATATACACCAGGAGATATACACATCTCGGTATATATACACTGAGAAGTATATACACCAGGAGATATACACATCTCGGTATATATACACTGAGAAGTATATACACCAGGAGATATACATCATCTCGGTATATATACACTGAGAAGTATATACACTAGGAGATATACACATCTCGGTATATATACACTGAGAAGTATATACACCAGGAGATATACACATCTCGGTATATATACACTGAGAAGTATATACACTACGAGATATACACATCTCGGTATATATACACAGAGAGACATACACATTTAAATATACATACCGTTATTCTGTTTTAAAGTTTTTAGAATATTTACATATTTGAGGCACTTAGGCTTATATTTGAGGCACTTAGGCCTATATTTGAGGCACTTAGGCTTATATTTGAGGCACTTGGGCCTATATTTGAGGCAACTTTGGCCTATATTTGAGGCACTTGGGCCTATATTTGAGGCACTTGGGCCTATATTTGAGGCACTTGGGCCTATATTTGAGGCACTTAGGCCTATATTTGAAGCACTTAGGCCTACAGGAAATTCAATGACATTTTGAATCAGGAAGTAGTAGTAACAATTATTAATTATTAGTAGTAATTATTTATTAGTAGTAATTAATTACTATTATTATTAATTATTAGTAGTAGTAGTAATTATTAACTATAATTACTATTAGTAGTAGTAGTAATTATTATTAGTAGCAATAGTAATTATTAGTAGTAGTAGTAGCAATTATTAGCAATAGTAATTATTAGTAGTAGTAGTAATTATTATTAGTAGCAATAGTAATTATTAGTAGTAGTAGTAGTAGTAGCAATTATTATTAGCAATAGTAATAGTAATTTTTGCTATATTATTATTATTAGTAGTAGTTACTATTATCGTTAGTAGTAGCAGCAGTAGTATTGGTAATAGTAATTATCATGATTATCATTATCACAATCAAAATAATCATGACTATAATTCTCCACCATTAAACCATGACAAATTTTTGCCAAAAAAGGACTAAACTGATAAACTCCATAAAAAACACAAACATTTTTAAACTTAGTTATTAAGGTTCAATCTCTGAACTTTTTCGTAATTTTTTCTGAGTTCGCTAAAGTTTCTCATTAATTAAAAGGCTTTCTAAATGGCCTTAAAAAAACTAGGCCTTTAACACCGGCTATTTTTATTCAGTTTGTTGATATTTGTGTTGATGAGATGTGTTTTAAATACGAATTTAATGCTGGGAGTTTCTGTCAGTGTATATACACTGAGAGGAGTTTCTGTCAGTGTATATACTCTGAGAGGAGTGTCTGTCAGTGTATATACACTGAGAGGAGTTTCTGTCAGTGTATATACTCTGAGAGGAGATTCTGTCAGTGTATATACACTGAGAGGAGTTTCTGTCAGTGTATATACTCTGAGAGGAGTTTCTGTCAGTGTATATACACTGAGAGGAGTTTCTGTCAGTGTATATACTCTGAGAGGAGTGTCTGTCAGTGTATATACACTGAGAGGAGTTTCTGTCAGTGTATATACACAGAGGAGTTTCTGTCAGTGTATATACTCTGAGAGGAGTTTCTGTCAGTGTATATACACTGAGAGGAGTTTCTGTCAGTGTATATACACTGAGAGGAGTTTCTGTCAGTGTATATACTCTGAGAGGAGTTTCTGTCAGTGTATATACACTAGAGGAGTTTCTGTCAGTGTATATACTCTGAGAGGAGTTTCTGTCAGTGTATATACACTGAGAGGAGTTTCTGTCAGTGTATATACACTGAGAGGAGTTCTGTCAGTGTATAATACACTGAGAGGAGTTTCTGTCAGTGTAAATACACTGAGAGGAGTTTCTGTCAGTGTAAATACCTGAGAGGAGTTTCTGTCAGTGTATATACACTGAGAGAGTTTCTGTCAGTGTATATACACTGAGAGGAGTGTCTGTCAGTGTAAATACACTGAGAGGAGTTTCTGTCAGTGTAAATACTCTGAGAGGAGTGTCTGTCAGTGTAAATACACTGAGAGGAGTGTCTGTCAGTGTATATACACTGAGAGGAGTTTCTGTCAGTGAAATATACACTGAGAGGAGTTTCTGTCAGTGTATATACTCTGAGAGCAGTGTCTGTCAGTGTATATACACAGAGGGAGTTTCTGTCAGTGTATATACTCTGAGAGGAGTTTCTGTCAGTGTAATACACTGAGAGGAGTTTCTGTCAGTGTAATATACACTGAGAGGAGTTTCTGTCTGTGTATATACTCTGAGAGGAGTTTCTGTCAGTGTATATACACTGAGAGGAGTTTCTGTCAGTGAAATATACACTGAGAGGAGTTTCTGTCAGTGTATATACCTGAGAGGAGTTTCTGTCAGTGTATATACACTGAGAGGAGTTTCTGTCAGTGTATATACACTGAGAGGAGTGTCTGTCAGTGTAAATACACTGAGAGGAGTTTCTGTCAGTGTAAATACACTGAGAGGAGTTTCTGTCAGTGTAAATACACTGAGAGGAGTTTCTGTCAGTGTATATACACTGAGAGGAGTTTCTGTCAGTGTATATACACTGAGAGGAGTGTCTGTCAGTGTAAATACACTGAGAGGAGTTTCTGTCAGTGTAAATACACTGAGAGGAGTTTCTGTCAGTGTAAATACACTGAGAGGACTGTCTGTCAGTGTATATACTTGAGAGGAGTTTCTGTCATGTAAAATACACTGAGAGAAGTTTCTGTCAGTGTATATACTCTGAGAGGAGTTTCTGTCAGTGTATATACACTGAGAGGAGTTTCTGTCAGTGTATATACTCTGAGAGGAGTTTCTGTCAGTGTATATACACTGAGAGGAGTTTCTGTCAGTGTAAATACACTGAGAGGAGTTTCTGTCAGTGAAATATACACTGAGAGGAGTTTCTGTCAGTGTAAAATACACTGAGAGGAGTTTCTGTCAGTGTATATACTCTGAGAGGAGTTCTGTCAGTGTATATACACTGAGAGGAGTGTCTGTCAGTGTATATAACTGAGAGGAGTTTCTGTCAGTGTAAATACACTGAGAGGAGTTTCTGTCAGTGTAATACTAAGGAGTTTCTGTCAGTGTATATACTCTGAGAGGAGTTCTGTCAGTGTATATACACTGAGAGGAGTTTCTGTCAGTGTATATTCTCTGAGAGGAGTTTCTGTCAGTGTATATACACTGAGAGGAGTGTCTGTCAGTGTATATACCTGAGAGGAGTGTTCTGTCAGTGTATATACTCTGAGAGGAGTTTCTGTCAGTGTATATACACTGAGAGAGTTTCTGTCAGTGTAAATACTCTGAGAGGAGTTTCTGTCAGTGTAATACACTGAGAGGAGTTCTGTCAGTGTATATACTCTGAGAGGAGTGTCTGTCAGTGTATATACACTGAGAGGAGTGTCTGTCAGTGTAATAACTGAGAGGAGTTTCTGTCAGTGTAAATACACTGAGAGGAGTGTCTGTCAGTGTATATACTCTGAGAGGAGTGTCTGTCAGTGTATATACTCTGAGAGGAGTTTCTGTCAGTGTATATACTCTGAGAGGAGTTTCTCTCAGTGTATATACTCAGAGAGGAGTTTCTGTCAGTGTAAATACACTGAGAGGAGTTTCTGTCTGTGTAAATACACTGAGAGGAGTTTCTGTCAGTGTAAATACACTGAGAGGAGTTTCTGTCAGTGTAAATACACTGAGAAGGGTTTCTGTCAGTGCATATACTCTGAGAGGAGTTTCTGTCAGTGTAAATACACTGAGAGGAGTTTCTGTCAGTGTATATACTCTGAGAGGAGTTTCTGTCAGTGTAAATTTACACTGAGAGGAGTTTCTGTCAGTGTAATACACTGAGAGGAAAGTTTCTGTCAGTGTAATACACTGAGAGGAGTTTCTGTCAGTGTAAATCACTGAGAGGAGTTCTGTCAGTATAAATACACTGAGAGGAGTTTCTGTCAGTGTATATACTCTGAGAGGAGTTGTCTGTCAGTGTATATACCTGAGAGGAGTTCTGTCAGTGTAAATACACTGAGAGGAGTTCTGTCAGTGTATATACTCTGAGAGGAGTTTCTGTCAGTGTAAATACACTGAGAGGAGTTTCTGTCAGTGTATATACACTGAGAGGAGTTTCTGTCAGTGTAAATACACTGAGAGGAGTTTCTGTCAGTGTATATACTCTGAGAGGAGTTTCTGTCAGTGTATATACACTGAGAGGAGTTCTGTCAGTGTAAATACACTGAGAGGAGTTCTGTCAGTTGTAAATACACTGAGAGGAGTTTCTGTCAGTTATAATACACTGAGAGGAGTTTCTGTCAGTGTATATACACTGAGAGGAGTGTCTGTCAGTGTATATACACTGAGAGGAGTGTCTGTCAGTGTATATACTCTGAGAGGAGTTTCTGTCAGTGTAAATACACTGAGAGGAGTTTCTGTCAGTGTATATACTTTGAGAGGAGTTTCTGTCAGTGTATATACTCTGAGAGGAGTGTCTGTCAGTGTATATACGCTGAGAGGAGTTTCTGTCAGTGTAATATTCTGAGAGGAGTTTCTGTCAGTGTATATACTCTGAGAGGAGAGTCTGTCAGTGTATATACTCTGAGAGGAGTGTCTGTCAGTGTATATACTCTGAGAGGAGTGTCTGTCAGTGTATATACTCTGAGAGGAGTGTCTGTCAGTGTATATACTCTGAGAGGAGTGACTGTCAGTGTATATACACTGAGAGGAGTGTGTGTCAGTGTATATACTCTGAGAGGAGTGTCTGTCAGTGTATATACACTGAGAGGAGTGTCTGTCAGTGTATATACACTGAGAGGAGTGTCTGTCAGTGTATATACACTGAGAGGAGTGTCTGTCAGTGTATATACACTGAGAGGAGTGTCTGTCAGTGTATATACTCTAAGAGGAGTGTCTGTCAGTGTATATACTACATGAGAGAGTGTCTGTCAGTGTATATACACTGAGAGAGTGTCTAGTCAGTGTATTACACTGAGAGGAGTGTCCTGTCAGTGTATATACACTGAGAGGAGTGTCTGTCAGTGTATATACACTGAGAGGAGTTTCTGTCAGTGTAAATACACTGAGAGGAGTTTCTGTCAGTGTATATACTCTGAGAGGAGTTTCTGTCAGTGTATATACTCTGAGAGGAGTGTCTGTCAGTGTATATACTCTGAGAGGAGTTTCTGTCAGTGTATATTCTCTGAGAGGAGTTTCTGTCAGTGTATATACTCTGAGAGGAGAGTCTGTCAGTGTATATACTCTGAGAGGAGTGTCTGTCAGTGTATATACTCTGAGAGGAGTGTCTGTCAGTGTATATAACTTTGAGAGGTGTCTGTCAGTGTATATACTCTGAGAGGAGTGTCTGTCCGTGTATATACACTGAGAGGAGTGTCTGTCAGTGTATATACTCTGAGAGGAGTGTCTGTCAGTGTATATACACTGAGATGAGTGTCTGTCAGTGTATATACACTGAGAGGAGTGTCTGTCAGTGTATATACACTGAGAGTGTCTGTCAGTGTATATACACTGAGAGGAGTTTCTGTCAGTGTATATACACTTATAGGAGTGTCTGTCAGTGTATATACTCTGAGAGGAGTGTCTGTCAGTGTATATACACTGAGATGAGTGTCTGTCAGTGTATATACACTGAGAGGAGTGTCTGTCAGTGTATATACACTGAGAGAAGTGTCTGTCAGTGTATATACAATGAGAGGAGTGTCTGTCAGCGTATATACACAGAGGAGTGCCTGTCAGTGTATATACACTGAGAGTGCCTATCAGTGCATATACACTGAGAGGAGTGCCTGTCAGTGTATATATACACTAAGAGGAGTGCCTGTCAGTGTATATACACTGAGAGGAGTGTCTGTCAGTGTATATACACTGAGAGGAGTTTCTGTCAGTGTATATACACTGAGAGGAGTTTCTGTCAGTGTATATACACTGAGAGGAGTGTGTGTCAGTGTATATACTCTGAGAGGAGTTTCTGTCAGTGTATATACACTGATAGGAGTGTCTGTCAGTGTATATACTCTGAGAGGAGTGTCTGTCAGTGTATATACACTGAGATGAGTGTCTGTCAGTGTATATACACTGAGAGGAGTGCCTGTCAGTGTATATACACTAAGAGGAGTTTCTGTCAGTGTATATACACTGAGAGGAGTTTCTGTCAGTGTATATACACTGAGAGGAGTGTGTGTCAGTGTATATACTCTGAGAGGAGTGTCTGTCAGTGTATATACACTGAGAGGAGTGCCTGTCAGTGTATATACACTAAGAGGAGTGCCTGTCAGGGTATATACACTGAGAGGAGTGCCTGTCAGTGTATATACACTAAGAGGAGTGCCTGTCAGTGTATATACACTAAGAGCAGTGCCTGTCAGTGTATATACACTGAGAGGAGTGTGTGTCAGTGTATATACTCAGAGGAGTGTCTGTCAGTGTATATACACTGAGAGGAGTGCCTGTCAGTGTATATACACTAAGAGGAGTGCCTGTCAGGGTATATACACTGAGAGGAGTGCCTGTCAGTGTATATACACTAAGAGGAGTGCCTGTCAGTGTATATACACTAAGAGCAGTGCCTGTCAGTGTATATACACAGAGGAGTGCCTGTCAGTGTATATACACTGAGAGGAGTGCCTGTCAGTGTATATACACACACAGGGTATTCCCCTTTGCTCCCCAACTCTCACTCACCTGAAACTCTTCAATAAGAGTCAATACTGAAGACTAAAAGAGTCGGTGGGTGGCCAGCAGGCAGGGTGAGAGCGTAGAGCACAAGAGTGGAGCTGAGGATGACAATGCCCGCAACTCAGAGCTCACCAGAGCTCACTTCTACTCTCCCACACCTATTAAGAAGCCCAGGGGCTCTCTGGTTTCCCTCAAGACACAGGAGGAGACCTCAGACCCCTACGAGATCTGTCCCTACGCTACCTTCAGGTACTTTTACAATACACGTACTAGATATTATTTCTAGAAAATATGTCTATTGATGATAGATCTCTTGATACAATATATATGTAGATATAATTTTACTGATACAATATATTCTTACAGTAGTTTGCAAATTAATTGGGACAGCAGTAAATTTTGGGATTACCTGTCTTAATCTCTCGCTTAATTAACTTAGTTTGGGATATTTTCTTTTTTAGAAGAGTTTGTTACTGGCTTCTGGCAACCATCCAGCTGTGGTGTTACCCTGAGACTCGTCAGTACTACAGCAGCTGTTGTTCTGTAAGGCTATTCCGGCAAGCAAGCTCCGTGAGTCAATGTGGTTTCTACAAATTCTCCTCTTCATTTCATGATTACTGCTGAAATTCATGATGGATGTTACTCCTAGGAAGAGTGCAAATATTGTAACTCTTAGAAAACATGATGAGTATCAGACAGATCGCTGAAACTTAAGCCTAGTAAAGTCAACTGGTGGTGGGATTCTGAAGAGAGCTGACGACACTGGTGACTGTGGAGCGCTGCGTCGAGGAAGATGTGGGAGACAACGCAAGACAACACCTCAAGGTAACAAGGTTATCATAAGAAATAGTGTGAAGGATCCCAAGAAAACCAGCAAAGATCTAGAGACATTTGGCTTCAGTTGACGTAAATGTTGATTCTTCAACTGTTCAACGAAGTCTCCTTGAAGGTGGCAGAACTTCCAGAAAGCTGATAAACAATTATTGATTGCTACTGTGAATAAAATATAGCTGTGGTGGGCCCTTGATTATAAGTGATGGACGACAGACGAATGATGAAAAGTTATAATTTCAGATGAGGCGAATTTTGAAGTATATAGGTACAGATAAGTGGTAGTGAAGTACATGGGTACAGATCAGTGGTAGTGAAGTACATGGGTACAGTGGTAGTGAAGTACATGGTACAGTGGTAGTGAAGTACATGGTACAGTGGTAGTGAAGTACATGGTACAGATCAGTGGTAGTGAAGTACATGGTACAGATCAGTGGTAGTGAAGTACATGGGTACAGTGGTAGTGAAGTACATGGAACAGTGGTAGTGAAGTACATGGTACAGTGGCAGTGAAGTACATGGTACAGTGGTAGTGAAGTACATGGTACAGATCAGTGGTAGTGAAGAACATGGGTACAGATCAGTGGTAGTGAAGTACATGGGTACAGATCAGTGGTAGTGAAGTACATGGGTACAGATCAGTGGTAGTGAAGTACATGGGTACAGATCAGTGGTAGTGAAGTACATGGGTACAGATCAGTGGTAGTGAAGTACATGGGTACAGATCAGTGGTAGTGAAGTACATAGGTACAGATCAGTGGTAGTGAAGTACATGGGTACAGATTAGTGGTAGTGAAGTACATGGGTACAGATCAGTGGTAGTGAAGTACATGGGTACAGATCAGTGGTAGTGAAGTACATGGGTACAGATTAGTGGTAGTGGGACGGAACAAAGGCGAACATCTTCAGAATGGACACATTCAACAAGCACCAAAACACCCACCTAAGATATTTTGTGGTAGTTTTGCTGCTAAAGGCTCTAGACGGCTCGTTATTGTTGAGGGAACGATGACCAGCGACAGATACAAGGCAATCCTGGCAACTCATTTGCTTCCCATTGTGGATAGAGACTTTCCTGATGGGGAAGTCATTTTCCAGCAGGACCTGGTTCCATGACACTCGTCCAGAAAAATGCTGACATTCTTCGAAGAGAGTGCATTAAGCGTTCTAATTGGCCTGGAAACTCTCCCGACCAGTGGCGGCTCGTAGCTACAATTAGTGGAGGTGCTGATTCAGAAAAATTTTAGCCATTGTTTTAATATTGTGTAAAAAAATATGAATTAAATAAAATAGTTTGAAGCATGATAATCATCTAATTCTACACTTTATCACATTAAAAAATATGGTACATGGTTTTTAGGCTCAACACATGTCGCTGAGTCAAAAAGAAACACTACCTTACACTTGCATAACAAGGTCGGCACTGCGTCAGCGGCAGTGCTCTCTCTACCTAGCGCGCAGCTTCTTATCTCGGACATGTGCGCATGCCTCACGAAATCATAATGACACGATTGCAAACAAACCATACCACAGGTGCGGTTTGAACCTGCAGTCAGAGAGTCGGTCTGGAGTTTTGAGACTCTCTGACCGCAGGTTCAAACCCCACCCGAGGTATGGTTTATGTGCACATGCGCACAACAGCCAAACACCGAGTCGCTGGAACTGTAAAGCGCACAGTTCCATACATGTTTTTTTGCAATTTCTCCATGTACTAGGGGATAGCTACTGACATTAAGCTTAAGGATTAATATAATATACAAGTATAAAGAAAGAATTAAAGAAAAAAAAAGACTCATATTGAATGTTATCGATAATATCGAGTGAAAATATGGGATGATGCAGTTCCGTAGTGCCTATACACGAGCCGCCATTGCTCCTGACCTTAACCCAGTTGAGAATCTATGGGCAATAGTCAAACACATGACCGCGAAACAGGACTGTTCAACTCAGAAGCTAATTGCTGGTGTTATTAGGACCTGACACCACGGCGAAGAACTTGCAAAAATGTGTTCAACATTGGTCGATTCTATGCCTCAGCGTGTAGTAATGCTGTGCCATAGAGTGTAGCAATGCTATGCCTCAGCGTGTAGCAATGCTATGCCTCAGCGTGTAGCAATGCTATGCCTCAGCGTGTAGCAATGCTATGCCTCAGCGTGTAGCAATGCTATGCCTCAGCGTGTAGCAATGCTATGCCTCAGCGTGTAGCAATGCTATGCCTCAGCGTGTAGCAATGCATATGCCTCAGCGTTGTAGCATTGCTATGCCTCAGCGTGTAGCAATGCTATGCCTCAGCGTGTAGCAATGCTATGCCTCAGCGTGTAGCAATGCTATGCCTCAGCGTGTAGCAATGTTTATAAAAACAAAGGGTAGTCATATCTCTCATTAAATCAATTATCTGTCATATCATTGCCGGGTATTTCTCAAATAAACATTAATTTTCCAAATATATGCCTTATTTTATCACTGTCCCAATTAATATGTACACTACTGTAGATTTCTCATTATAGGCCTATCTTGTCTTCTCAATAAATTGAAGAAAAATGGCCTCTGCCTGTCTGTGTGGGTGCCTATGCATTCATTGATCTATTTTCATCTTCCTGTCTTTCTCTCTATCTGTCTATTTCTCTCTCTCTCTTTATATATTCTTTTCTTCCCTGTAATTTTCCTTTCGTTTCTTCTCTCTCTCTGTCTGTCTCTCTCTGTCTCTCTCAGTTCCTCTCACCTTCCTACCCATAGCGTGGGTAGCTCTGAAGGGACACTAGAATACGGTCTGTCTCTACACGCTATGACACCCCGTGACTGTCTGGACCACCCGGCCGCCCACAGCGACCACTCGGCCGCCCACGGTGACCACCCAGCCGCCCACGGTGACCGCCACGCCCAGCAATCCCCAGCTTATGGCCAGGTCGGTCGCCAGAGGGCCCAGTCACACTACAAGGAAACAGGTAAGCAAAAAGATGCATAATAACCACAGAGGGGGAGTTGAACGATAGCTCTAAGCCTTTCGTCTTGCAATCAACACGTCATCAGGAACTTGCAATGTTGCAGAAATGGAGTAGGAAATCCAACCAGAACGAATCTGCCTGGACTTCTACTCGTTCTGAAACATTGCAAGCTCCTGATGAAGTTCTGTTGCAAAACGAAAGGTCTAGAACTTTCATTTCAACTCCCCCTGTCGTCACTATATATATATATCTATATGTCGTGCCGAATAGGCAGAACTTGCGATCTTGGTTTAAATAGCAACGCTCATCTTGCCATATAGGACAAGTGAAAATTTGTGTATGCAGTAATTTCTCCAAAATCATTCTGAACCTAACGAAAAAAATATATTTCACTGTGTTTGTTTAGTATTAAATTACTGTAAACAAATCTAAAATATATTTAGTTGGGTTAGGCTAAAATAAATTGTTCTTGTTATGATAATGTTAGGTAAGTTTTCTAAGATTCTTTTGGTGCAAAATTATAAATTTTTACATTAACATTAATGAAAAAAATATATCTTTAAACGTATAAAAGAAAATTTCAGAAAGGACTTAATTTTAAATGAGTTCTTGCTAATTGACCAGTTTTACATATTCGGCACGACATATATATATATATTCTATGCTTATTCACTATTATCAATTATTATTATTATTATTATTATTATTATTTAGTAATTCTCAGGCAATTTTACTAACATGATCAATTTTTTTTTCACATTGGTGATGGATTAGAAATTGCATATATAAGTCGAGGTGGGCGTGGGGACTACGCCAGCCGCCCAAAATCTATCCCGGGCGCGCAGCCGCCCACCCTCTCCGCTACCGCTGGTGCGGCCACCCCGGCACCTTCCGAGCAGAGGCCGTGGGTGGAGGAGGCCAGGAAAGACACCAGGAGCCGCCCTCATAGGCCTAGGAGTCGAACCAGAGGTGAGCCTGTCAAGATAATGACAGTCTTTGATGTTCCCTTTCTATTGTATAAGATAATCAATAATAATACTGACAATTTAAGACATACGTGGAACACTTGGGCATCTCTGAGAGACTTTTTCGCCCACTAGTGCCTTTATCCAGTATAAACATGTGGCTTGTGGAAGGTGTTTCATTCTTCAGATGGAATGTGACACAGGTTTGTGTCATGATTCAAGCCGCAATATCGTGTTTGTTTACGAAAAAACATCACCAGCCACTAGAGGCAAGAGACACTGACTGTAAGTGTCTCAGAGATAAGAGATTTGTTGGCAAGATTTGCCACGTGATTCTTCTCTGACAGTATGGAATCAAATTTCACCCCTTAGGATATCCACCTCATCCCAGGTACCAATACTCTCCCATACAGTCTTATGACTGTTCCAGCATTACCATCATGGTGTCTAGACACCATCATTCATACTACTGCTCCAGCATTACCATCATGGTGCCTAGACACCATCATTCATACTACTGCTCCAGCATTACCATCATTCTTATCACTGCTCCAGCATTACCATCATGGTGGCTAGAGACCATCATTCTTATCACTGCTCCAGCATTACCATCATGGTGTCTAGACACCATCATTCATACTACTGCTCCAGCATTACCATCATGGTGCCTAGACACCATCATTCATACTACTGCTCCAGCATTACCATCATTCTTATCACTGCTCCAGCATTACCATCATGGTGCCTAGACACCATCATTCTTATCACTGCTCCAGCATTACCATCATGGTGCCTAGACACCATCATTTATACTACTGCTCCAGCATTACCATCATGGTGTCTAGACACCATCATTCTTACCTGTCTGGAATACCAGTCTGATGAGCAGTTTACATGGAGAAGGTTCAGGGGGGTCAACGCCCCCGCGGGCCGGTCTGTGACCAGGCCTCAGTACACATTAATGTAAACACAATGTATATGAACACACAATATATATGAACAGAATGTGATCGAATCCTCGACAACCAATTTTCTCCCACTAGGAGGCATATCCAGTGTACTTACTGGGTCTGTGGGCCCCTAGGTTCGTGGGCCCCTAAGTCCCTGAGTTACTGGGCCCCTGAATCGTTCAAGAAACTGTCAGTTCTCGCTCTCTGGCTTTCTCTCTCTCTCTCTCTAACAAGCTGTCTCTCTCTCTCTCAGCTGATACACCCGGAGGAGGTCGTGACTCCAGTACTGAGAGTAATGACGCCTCGTCTCCAGTACAGCAGCGCCACTACCACCAGCAACAGCAGCAGCAGCAGCAACAGCAGCAGCAGCAGCAGCAGCCGCAAGCAGCGCCCTCAGCTGCCACCGCCGCAGCAGCGGCCGCAGCGGGGAGAGTGGGACCGCACCCGCTACCGCCGGTCCGACTTGCCAGGTAGTCACAGGTAGACCAGCTACGTTGTGTAAGGTGGAACCCCTTGCCCCAACCCCTACCCAAACCCCTTCCCCTGCCTTACCCCTACCCCAAGCCCTTTCCCTGCCCTACCCCTACCCCTTCCCCTATCACTGCCCCATCCCCCTACCCTCTACCCGTTCATCTACCCCTTCCTCTTCCCTACCACCTACCCATTCCCTTGTCCCTACCCCTATCACTGCCCCTTCCCTTGCCCCTACCCCTTCCCCACCACCCTCAAGACCCCTCCCCGGCACCATCTCTCCATAGACCCTTCTTGTTCTGGACCCATCAAAGTTATCTTACGTCAAGATAACTATAACAATTGTTATATTAAGGTCATCACAGATAACCTGCACTTGGGAAGCTTACAGCGACGTTTCGGTTCATTCAAAACCATTATCAAGTCACGAATGAGAGAGAGAGAGAGAGAGAGAGAGAGAGAGAGAAAGAGTCAGATAGAACAGAGAGAGAAGAGAGAAGAATTAAGAGATCAGATATAACAGGAAGGTAGAAGAGAGAAGAATTATAGTTACGATTAGCATTTAGTTACAATTAGCATTTAGTTACAATTAGCATTTAGTTACAATTAACATTTAGTTACAATTAACATTTAGTTACAATTAGCATTTAGTTACAATTAACATTTAGTTACAATTAACATTTAGTTACAATTAACATTTAGTTACAATTAGCATTTAGTTACGATCGGCATTTTCATTACAAGATAACATCATCCACATAGTAGCGCACTCACCTCACACACTAAGGTCCGTGGTTCGATCCCCGGTACGGGTGGTAACATTGGGGGGAAGGGGGTTCCTCAAGACACCTGCTGTTCCTGTTCACCTAGCAGTAAGTATGTACCTGAGTGTTAGTCACCTAACATCTGCTCTCCCTGTAATTAGGTACGTGGATGTTAGTGGACTGGTGTGGGTGGCATCCTGGGGACAAAATTAGCCTAAGTAGCGGGAAATGTTCTGCATAACCAGAACTTTCTATATAGTATGTCACTGATGTCAGCTATGGTCTGTATAAGTTGAACCATATACTGGTAGAAATCAATATTATTATTAATGTCAATGATGTCAACTGTGTAAGTTGTATCATGTAATGGTAGTAACAATAATTATTATTATGTAAATTCGAAGGGAATTAATAAAAACTAGTGTTTGTCGTGGTTTCAGGACTCGTACTGAGTCGTCCTCAAGCGACAGTTCGTTGCTCACTCCACCACGACCCCTACACCCGCCCTCGGCTTTCTCGGACTCGAGAGAGCTCTCCGAAGCCGAGTGTGACCGGGAGATGCTCCAAGCTCACGGAGAAGGTGAAGCTGGAGGAAGGTCTTGGAGCCCAGCTCACTGTGGCAGCTCCAGAGATGCGGAAGAGAACATCAAGACAGAATTAAATACTCTTCTTCAACGTTACCAACAACAGAAACAAGAGGATCAAATCTCACAACACAAGAAGAGGAAGATGCCAGAGAAGAATCCGTATACCATTAATGTTTAGTGATGTTAGTAGTGTGTGTGTGTGTGTGTGTGTGTGTGTGTGTGTGTGTGTATTCACCTAATGTGTGTGTTTGTGTGTGTGTGTGTATTCACCTAATGTGTGTGTTTGTGTGTGTATGTATTTACCTAATGTGAGTTTGTGAGTGTACTCACCCATTTGTGATTGTAAAGGTCGAGTCATAGCTCCTGGCCCCCGTGTGTGTATCACAATCCCAGGATCACCCTACATACATTTTTAACAACCATGTTCCCGTTTTGTACTGTTATCAATTTTCTAACCAATCACCTTCTAACAGTAATTATTACCTGTTAAAGCAACAGAAACTCCCTACTGTTCGAACCGCATTTGTAAAACAGTAAAGCCTAAATATATAGCACATAAATTACCCCCCAAAAAAGGCCTATGCACATTTTTTTGCATAATAACAATGGCATTTATAGGCTGCAATGTGTTGTAATAAAAATATATTTGTCTTTCGGAATAAAAAAGGCCTTTTATTTGCCTTTATTCCCATATCAGTTCCCCCTTCAAAAAAAAAAAATCGAAATTAAAAATAATTTTTCTTAGCAAGACCTTTAATTTAGTGTTTATTAATAAAATCTATAATAATCTTGCAGAAATGTTATTATTAATAATTTTACCGAGATGTAATAAGATGGAAATTAGGGGTTATTGTGGTAAGCAGGTACCTGAGACCAAGACACCAGTACCTAAGTAAGGCACATGTCCAAGATTTAGGTATCTGAGGGACTAATCACCCCAAAACTACGTCTTCAAGAGTGATGGACTGATGACATTGTCTTCACATCTCTACTGCTCCTGTAAATTCCTCAGTACTCGACTGAAGAAGTCTGCTGTGTAGTCCAAATGTTTCGGAATAAATATACCTGACTATTGCACCTGTGTCTAACTTACCAACACCTCAGTCTTACTGCTGCTCCAGACTGAGGGACTGACTACCTCAGTCTTACTGCTGCTGCTCCAGACTGAGGGACTGACTACCTCAGTCTTACTGCTGCTCCAGACTGAGGGACTGACTACCTCAGTCTTACTGTTGCTGCTCCAGACTGAGGGACTGACTACCTCAGTCTTACTGCTGCTCCAGACTGAGGGACTGACTACCTCAGTCTTACTGCTGCTGCTCCAGACTGAGGGACTGACAACCTCAGTCTTACTGCTGCTCCAGACTGAGGGACTGACGACCTCAGTCATACTGCTGCTGCTCCAGACTGAGGGACTGACTACCTCAGTCTTACTGCTGCTCCAGACTGAGGGACTGACTACTTCAGTCTTACTGCTGCTGCTCCAGACTGAGGGACTGACTACCTCAGTCTTACTGCTGCTGCTCCAGACTGAGGGACTGACTACCTCAGTCTTACTACTGCTGCTCCAGACTGAGGGACTGACTACCTCAGTCTTACTACTGCTGCTCCAGACTGAGTAACTGATTACCTCAGTCTTACTACTGCTGCTCCAGACTGAGGGACTGACTACCTCAGTCTTACTGCTGCTCCAGACTGAGGAACTGACTACCTCAGTCTTACTACTGCTGCTCCAGACTGAGGGACTGACTACCTCAGTCTTACTACTGCTGCTCCAGACTGAGGGACTGACTACCTCAGTCTTACTACTGCTGCTCCAGACTGAGGGACTGACTACCTCAGTCTTACTACTGCTGCTCCAGACTGAGGAACTGACTACCTCAGTCTTACTGCTGCTCCAGACTGAGGGACTGACTACCTCAGTCTTACTGCTGCTGCTCCAGACTGAGGGACTGACTACCTCAGTCTTACTACTGCTGCTCCAGACTGAGGAACTGACTACCTCAGTCTTACTACTGCTGCTCCAGACTGAGTAACTGATTACCTCAGTCTTACTACTGCTGCTCCAGACTGAGGGACTGACTACCTCAGTCTTACTACTGCTGCTCCAGACTGAGGAACTGACTACCTCAGTCTTACTGCTGCTGCTCCAGACTGAGGAACTGACTACCTCAGTCTTACTACTGCTTCAGACTGAGGGACTGACTACCTCAGTCTTACTGCTGCTGCTCCAAACTGAGGGACTGACTACCTCAGTCTTACTGCTGCTCCAGACTGAGGGACTGACTACCTCAGTCTTACTGCTGCTGCTACAGACTGAGGGACTGACTACCTCAGTCTTACTACTGCTGCTCCAGACTGAGGGACTGACTACCTCAGTCTTACTGCTGCTCCAGACTGAGGGACTGACTACCTCAGTCTTACTGCTGCTGCTGCTCCAGACTGAGGACTGACTACCTCAGTCTTACTACTGCTGATCCAGACTGAGGGACTGACTACCTCAGTCTTACTACTGCTGCTCCAGACTGAGGGACTGAACTACCTCAGTCTTACTACTGCTGCTCCAGACTGAGGGACTGACTACCTCAGTCTTACTACTGCTGCTCCAGACTGAGGGACTGACTACCTCAGTCTTACTACTGCTGCTCCAGACTGAGGGACTGACTATCTCAGTCTTACTACTGCTGCTCCAGACTGAGGGACTGACTACCTCAGTCTTACTGCTGCTCCAGACTGAGGAACTGACTACCTCAGTCTTACTACTGCTGCTCCAGACTGAGGGACTGAGTACCTCAGTCTTACTACTGCTGCTCCAGACTGAGGGACTGACTACCTCAGTCTTACTACTGCTGCTCCAGACTGAGGGACTGACTACCTCAGTCTTACTACTGCTGCTCCAGACTGAGGAACTGACTACCTCAGTCTTACTGCTGCTCCAGACTGAGGGACTGACTACCTCAGTCTTACTGCTGCTGCTCCAGACTGAGGGACTGACTACCTCAGTCTTACTACTGCTGCTACAGACTGAGGAACTGACTACCTCAGTCTTACTACTGCTGCTCCAGACTGAGGAACTGACTACCTCAGTCTTACTACTGCTGCTCCAGACTGAGGGACTGACTACCTCAGTCTTACTACTGCTGCTCCAGACTGAGGAACTGACTACCTCAGTCTTACTGCTGCTGCTCCAGACTGAGGATCTGACTACCTCAGTCTTACTGCTGCTGCTCCAGACTGAGGGACTGACTACCTCAGTCTTACTACTGCTGCTCCAGACTGAGGGACTGACTACCTCAGTCTTACTACTGCTGCTCCAGACTGAGGGACTGACTTCTTCAGTCTTACTGCTGCTGCTCCAGACTGAGGACTGACTACCTCAGTCTTACTACTGCTGCTCCAGACTGAGGGACTGACTACCTCAGTCTTACTACTGCTGCTCCAGACTGAGGGACTGACTACCTCAGTCTTACTACTGCTGCTCCAGACTGAGGGACTGACTACCTCAGTCTTACTACTGCTGCTCCAGACTGAGGGACTGACTACCTCAGTCTTACTACTGCTCCAGACTGAGGGACTGACTACCTCTGTCTTACTACTGCTGCTCCAGACTGAGGGACTGACAACCTCAGTCTTACTACTGCTGCTTCAGACTGAGGGACTGACTACCTCAGTCTTACTGCTGCTCCAGACTGAGGGACTGACAACCTCAGTCTTACTACTGCTGCTTCAGACTGAGGGACTGACTACCTCAGTCTTACTGCTGCTCCAGACTGAGGGACTGACTACCTCAGTTTTACTACTGCTGCTCCAGACTGAGGGACTGACTACCCCAGTCTTACTGGTGCTCCAGACTGAGGAACTGACTACCTCAGTCTTACTACTGCTGCTCCAGACTGAGGGACTGACTACCTCAGTCTTACTACTGCTGCTCCAAACTGAGGGACTGACTACCTCAGTCTTACTACTGCTGCTCCAGACTGAGGAACTGACTACCTCAGTCTTACTGCTGCTGCTCCAGACTGAGGAACTGACTACCTCAGTCTTACTACTGCTGCTCCAAACTGAGGGACTGACTACCTCAGTCTTACTACTGCTGCTCCAAACTGAGGGACTGACTACCTCAGTCTTACTACTGCTGCTCCAGACTGAGGAACTGACTACCTCAGTCTTACTGCTGCTGCTCCAGACTGAGGGACTGACTACCTCAGTCTTACTGCTGCTGCTCCAGACTGAGGAACTGACATACCTCAGTCCTTACATACTGCTGCTCCCAGACTGAGGGACTGACTACCTCAGTCTTACTACTGCTGCTCCAAACTGAGGGACTGACTACCTCAGTCTTACTACTGCTGCTCCAGACTGAGGGACTGACTACCTCAGTCTTACTACTCCTGCTCCAGACTGAGGAACTGACTACCTCAGTCTTACTACTGCTGCTCCAAACTGAGGAACTGACTACCTCAGTCTTACTACTGCTGCTCCAAACTGAGGAACTGACTACCTCAGTCTTACTACTGCTTTAGACTGAGGGACTGACTACCTCAGTCTTACTACTGCTGCTCCAGACTGAGGAACTGACTACCTCAGTCTTACTACTGCTCCAGACTGAGGGACTGACTACCTCACTCTTACTACTGCTGCTTCAGACTGAGGGACTGACTACCTCAGTCTTACTACTGCTGCTTCAGACTGAGGAACTGACTACCTCAGTCTTACTACTGCTGCTCCAAACTGAGGGACTGACTACCTCAGTCTTACTACTGCTCCAGACTGAGGAACTGACTACCTCAGTCTTACTACTGCTGCTCCAAACTGAGGAACTGACTACCTCAGTCTTACTACTGCTCCAGACTGAGGGACTGACTACCTCAGTCTTACTACTGCTGCTTCAGACTGAGGAACTGACTACCTCAGTCTTACTACTGCTGCTCCAGACTGAGGAACTGACTACCTCAGTCTTACTACTGCTGCTCCAGACTGAGGAACTGACTACCTCAGTCTTACTGCTGCTGCTCCAGACTGAGGAACTGACTACCTCAGTCTTACTACTGCTTCAGACTGAGGGACTGACTACCTCAGTCTTACTACTGCTGCTCCAAACTGAGGAACTGACTACCTCAGTCTTACTACTGCTGCTCCAAACTGAGGAACTGACTACCTCAGTCTACTACTGACTGCTGCTCCAAACTGAGGGAACTGACTACCTCAGTCTTACTACTGCTGCTCCAAACTGAGGAACTGACTACCTCAGTCTTACTACTGCTGCTCCAGACTGAGGGACTGACTACCTCAGTCTTACTGCTGCTGCTCCAAACTGAGGAACTGACTACCTCAGTCTTACTACTGCTGCTCCAAACTGAGGAACTGACTACCTCAGTCTTACTAACTGCTGCTCCAAACTGAGGAACTGACTACCTCAGTCTTACTACTGCTGCTCCAAACTGAGGAACTGACTACCTCAGTCTTACTACTGCTGCTCCAAACTGAGGAACTGACTACCTCAGTCTTACTACTGCTGCTCCAAACTGAGGAACTGACTACCTCAGTCTTACTACTGCTGCTCCAAACTGAGGAACTGACTACCTCAGTCTTACTACTGCTGCTCCAAACTGAGGAACTGACTACCTCAGTCTTACTACTGCTGCTCCAAACTGAGGGACTGACTACCTCAGTCTTACTACTGCTGCTCCAGACTGAGGGACTGACTACCTCAGTCTTACTGCTGCTGCTCCAGACTGAGGAACTGACTACCTCAGTCTTACTACTGCTGCTCCAAACTGAGGAACTGACTACCTCAGTCTTACTACTGCTGCTCCAAACTGAGGAACTGACTACCTCAGTCTTACTACTGCTGCTCCAAACTGAGGAACTGACTACCTCAGTCTTACTACTGCTGCTCCAAACTGAGGGACTGACTACCTCAGTCTTACTACTGCTGCTCCAAACTGAGGGACTGACTACCTCAGTCTTACTACTGCTGCTCCAAACTGAGGGACTGACTACCTCAGTCTTACTACTGCTGCTCCAGACTGAGGGACTGACTACCTCAGTCTTACTACTGCTGCTCCAAACTGAGGAACTGACTACCTCAGTCTTACTACTGCTGCTCCAAACTGAGGGACTGACTACCTCAGTCTTAACTACTGCTGCTCCAAACTGAGGGACTGACTACCTCAGTCTTACTACTGCTGCTCCAGACTGAGGGACTGACTACCTCAGTCTTACTACTGCTGCTCCAAACTGAGGGACTGACTACCTCAGTCTTACTACTGCTGCTCCAGACTGAGGGACTGACTACCTCAGTCTTACTACTGCTGCTCCAAACTGAGGAACTGACTACCTCAGTCTTACTACTGCTGCTCCAAACTGAGGGACTGACTACCTCAGTCTTACTACTGCTGCTCCAGACTGAGGGACTGACTACCTCAGTCTTACTGCTGCTGCTCCAGACTGAGGGACTGACTACCTCAGTCTTACTACTGCTGCTCCAGACTGAGGGACTGACTACCTCAGTCTTACTACTGCTGCTGTCCAGACTGAGGGACTGACTACCTCAGTCTTACTACTGCGCTCCAGACTGAGGGACTGACTACCTCAGTCTTACTACTGCTGCTGCTCCAAACTGAGGGACTGACTACCTCAGTCTTACTGCTGCTGCTCCAAACTGAGGGACTGACTACCTCAGTCTTACTACTGCTGCTCCAAACTGAGGGACTGACTACCTCAGTCTTACTACTGCTGCTCCAAACTGAGGGACTGACTACCTCAGTCTTACTGCTGCTGCTCCAAACTGAGGGACTGACTACCTCAGTCTTACTGCTGCTGCTCCAAACTGAGGACTGACTACCTCAGTCTTACTGCTGCTGCTCCAAACTGAGGGACTGACTACCTCAGTCTTACTACTGCTGCTCCAAACTGAGGGACTGACTACCTCAGTCTTACTACTGCTGCTCCAGACTGAGGGACTGATCCCATATCAACATCTTCACTAATTCTGCTCTCCCTACATTTCGACTGAAGATGCCCGCTGAGCAGAAGAATCATTATCGTTATTATTATTTTTATTATCATTTTGAGAGACTAGGAGACAAGAAAATGAAGCCGTTTTCAGTGCTGGATCAAGCAGGCTGTTGGTGCTGGCAACACACACACATCACGGAACCAAGCCAGTCAAGCCTTGATAATGACAGGGTTATCCCACCTGGGCTATCCCAGCTGGGCTATCCTGGGTTATCCCAACTGGGTATCCCAGCTGGGCTATCCTGGATTATCCCAACTGGGTTATCCCAGCTAGGTTATCCTGGGTTATCCCACCTGGGCTATCCCAGCTGGGCTATCCTGGGTTATCCCAACTGGGTATCCCAGCTGGGCTATCCTAGGTTATCTCAACTGGGATATCCCAGCTAGGCTATCCTGGGTTATCCCAACTGTGTTATCCTAGGTTATCCCAGCTGGGCTATCCTGGGTTATCCCAGCTGGGCTATCCTGGGTTATCCCAGCTGGGCTATCCTGGGTTATCCAGGATTATCTCTACTGGGATATTCTGGGTTATCCAAGCTGGGTTATCCTGGGTTATCCCAGCTGGGCAATCCCAACGAAGGTCTGTATAAAAATTCTTTATGGCCTCTTGATCCAAGGGATCAAAGTTATCCTCTTCCTTGCATCAAACTTAATTACCTCCCTCCCTTCCCCCCGGCGCTGTATGACCCATGAGAGTTTGGCGCTTCTCCTTGACTATGATAATACAGTGAACAACAAGTGACCCAAATTAAAAAATGGTATCATAGGCTTAAATGAATTAATGGGTAATAACACGCCTATTATGATAGGATCTATGAAGCTGTGTTAGGAGCCATGACTCGACCCTTGCGCCCTTAAATAGATAACACAGACTTTAATACGTGGCATCCGAATGTGACGCATTTCTTTAAAAATAATAATATATAACATAATATACTAATGGTACCGAGAAATTCTTTTGACTATTTTTTATTTAAAGTGAGAGCCGTTCTTAGCAAGAAATTTGCATAGGTTTGAGCGAGATAAACATAATTGTCAATTTTTTTTACATGGTATCCGAATGTGACGCATTTCCTTAAAAATAAATTATTTACAAACTATATTAATAACACCATGAAACACTATTGATAGTTTTTTTTCTAAGCAAAGGGGCTTTTACTGGTAAAAATACACGCATAGATGAAATGAATTAAAAATAAGAGTCAGAGATTATAAAGAAATGCAACCAGATGTGCCATGTAAACAAACATGGCGGGCGGGGAGGACACCACAGAGACAATTCCAGAAGTCGAGGCTGGAGTGCAAGCTATAAGCGTCTCTCATGAACCAGACACGACCACTAATATGAATCAAGACGACCCACAAATAACCCTGCTGGAAAACGGCGTGGAAGTTCACTGGGGGTTCTCCCTGCACGACCTCTACAGGATCGCTCTTAAGTTCTACAAAGGTGGGGACGACTCCAGTACCTTCACAAACTATTTATTTGCTAAATAATGAGAGGAAACACCGTCAAATTAATGTTTTTATAATATATAATGGTAGTTTTTACTAAAAGTGGATCGACTGTAAGGTTAATTGCTCTGGTTGTGGATAATTTACACTCGTGCAGCGCTGTGTGACCCAAGTGGGTTTAGCGCTTGTTTTTTAACAATAATACAGACTGTCGTGCTGGTGAGGGGCTCTTGATCCAGGGAATTGGATCTGGGCTCCAATTCCCTGAGTTAAGCCTGAATTCAGTCTTCCACTTCCTCTCCCACAGGCGCTGTATAATCCCTATGGGTTTAGCGCTCCCCATAATAATAATACAGGCCGTCATAATTTATTAAAATATCAAGAATTATTAATAATAAAGTTTTCGGTTATTCATTATTACTATTATTATCAAAAGAAGCACCAAACCTACAAGGGTCATGTAGCTGGTTATTCTTCAGCTTTATTTATTTTTGGTAAAGCCTCATTAAGGTTGTGCTGGTCAGTCCTGGTCTTCATATTTCAGGTGATTAATTTTTTGTCAATGCAACATTGTGTATTAGAATACTAAAAAAAATATATAAAACATTTTTTCCGTTCATATTGCCTGTTTATTAATCGATTAGTTTTTTGTCAGTGCAGCACTGTAATGGAGTGTTAAAAAAATTTTTAAAGTGGATATTTTGTACATTGCACAAAAAGAAGGGAAGGCTGTCCCTAGAATGCTATTTTTTTTTCTTTTATACATTGTAAAAGATATTTCGTATATTGCAGAAAAAGAAGGGAAGGCAGTCCATTTTGGGTACGCTGAGAAATGTGCCCTAGTCGGACTGAGTCAGCAAGTGACACACGGCCCCTATGATCAAGTGTCTTCACCACCTGTTGGTGTCCTTGATGTTGTGGGTAAAGACAGAAGGTACGACTCGTCATAGATAATGGATATAATAATAATCTTTATTTCAGCATGATACAATGTTTGTATAAAGGAGAACGACATTTGGGTTTACAAACCGAAAGCTTCTATGTATACAGAGCATTTTCTGCAAACTTAAGACTAACTTGAGATAAATAAGGCAATGACAAGTAATTTTGTTCATACAGTCACAAGGGTCATGCAGTGATGAAGCATCAGAATGTAGTGGGAATTTGTTGATGAATTTAGGAAACTCACATTAAGACTGAACCCCAGTATAGAGAGGAACTGTATTAATAATAATAATAATAATAATAATAATAATAATAATATCTATTTCTACATGTACAAGGTATACAGACCATAGTTGACGTCAATGACATACTACTATATAGAAAGGTGTTTGTTATGCAGAGCATTTCTGGCAAATTAGTTCAGTTTTGTTCCCAGGATGCGACCCACACCAGTCCACTAACACCCAGGTACCTATTTTACTGCTAGGTGAACGTGGAAACTCATGCTAAATCTTAAGTAACATTTAAGCATTAGGATTACTATGCCTGAAATATATTGCATAGTTAGTGGCTTTCTTTTTTTTTCTTAACACTGTTGTATAACATGTAAACTACATTATTTGTATGACATAAACAAACAAAAATTGCATTGTACTATGTATACATGTACATATTTTGATCTCCATCTGAAATCTTCCTTAGATGTAGAAGCAGAGCTGGATTAAGATTTTGTAGACCTCTGGGGTAGAGGTACTGTGAGGCCCCCAGTGATATATTCAAATGGGAAAAGTTAATCACAACCTTCAAGAGTTCATCATGAATGTGATGTAATAACATACTATAAACTTACAGCAGTACTGTGAACACTTTTCACTATCTTTGGAGGCCCTGAAGCTGGCAGAGGCTCCGGACATGCAGCACCTGGAGGCCCTCCAACTGGCTGAAGACCCTGGGCTGCAGCCCCTAGGGGCCCTCCAGCTGTCAGAGGCCCCTGTGCTGCAGCCCAGGGCCCTCTGTACACAGGGCTGCCTTAATGCAGCCCTGTGTACAAGAAGAGTACGCAAGTCTGGGTTTATAAAAGGGCAGATACAACGGGTCACATATGTGACCCGTTATATCTGCCCTCAACATACACATGACTCTTAGATTTGCCCCTGTATAAACCCAGACTCACTCTCTTGTGCATCTGAAGATCTCAGCTGAAGGTCATAATATACAGTCTACAGTAACTTGTATTTCTCGAAGTCATTTTCTAGCTCATGTTTGGATGTGTTTTATTTTTTTGTTTTGTTTTGTTTTGTTTTTTACATAGATCAATTTTATAGACTAAGATGTGCTATCCTACCTCAGGTCCTTGCAAAGCCCCGCTCTATCTGAGGTATACTACCACCCCCTCAGGATGCCACCCATAACAATCTACTAACACCCAGGTACCTACTTACTGCAAGGTGAACAGGGACAGCAGATGTAAGGACACATACCCAACCTTTCCACCTCTGCTGGGGATCGCATCCCAGACACTCAGTAAAGCAAGAACAACAGTAAATTAAAATTGTCTTCTTCAGATTGGCATGGCAGACAAATCGGATATAAATTAAGTAAAAGGACACAGATGCAATTTGTGGTATTTTATTGTGGCAATGTTTCACTCTCCAGGAGCTTTGTCAAGACGTTTCAGCTTGATAAAACTCCTGGAGAGCAAAATGTTATGTCTTTTTACCTAACATTTTGTCAGTAATTTTACCATTGTTAGTAAATCAGATACATGATTGTCCTCCAATCAGATAATTATTCTCCAGTCATATGCAGCCTCTCCTCACTTAATGACGGAGGTCCGTTCCTGAGACCACTTCATTAAACGAATTTCTCGCTAGGATAGGGACATATTATAATCGTAGTGAGTTTGTATCAACCATCATTGATATTGTTTTAATGTCACCTTGCATCATTTATGACATTTCTGGTATATTTTTAAATGTTCATACTGTAGTGTACTGTATATTGTAATAAACAGAATAGAGGAAATCAGCTCTAATATACGTACATTGTTTAGGTATGAATACTGGTCAGAGAGCCGGTCATCACTCCGAGGCGTTGGTAAACGACTACTTTGCTAAGTGAGGAGAGGCTGTATATGACTATCCTCCAGTGAGATACATCATTGTTCTCCAATCAGATACATAATTTTCCTCCACAGATTAGCATGGCAGAATTTAGGATCCATGAGTAGAGAAGAAGCCAAGCAGCAATTTATAGACAAGTTGAGCGACATGGTGCCAACTTTCCGTCCCTATGTTGAGGCTCTATGGGCAGACAAACTGGAGAAGGAAAGACAAGCGTATGTGAAAAACTAAGAATTTTTTACAATACAGGTACAACATTGATTTTCCAGACACTGATGGTCCGGAACCATACAAATTTACGAGCAGGAACTTGAAATTCTTGCTGCAATGTATTTATCACCAAACTGTATGTCACCTATCCAAACCCAAGATCAAGGAATACTGCATTCTCTAAAGGCAGAAAAATTAGTAATCCGGAAAGGCTTTGGAACCAAAGATCCAGAAAATCAATGTTGTACCTGTATTTTCCATTTTGCCGGGAACAATGGGCTAGTAACCCCATCTCTTGTATAAATTACTAAATTTAAAAATAAAAATTTTCCACTTTTCTTTTTAGGTCACCCTGCCTTGGTGGGATATGGCTAATTCATTGAAAAAAAAAAATTAATTTTTGTTTTTAACGTTTCTTTGGCAGCATAATTTAGGAAAATTTTGTCTTTGTGATAAATTACCTTAAAAAAATTATTATACCTAGGCTAAGAAATATTGTGCAAATGTGATTTAGTGTGTGAAATTGTTTGTGGTACTCGTTGGGATTTGCCAAAACCGTAAGGGTCACACTAATGCCTGTGGAGTGTAAGGTAATCAAGTTTGATCTGAGGAGGGAGCAAAGGTAGATTCAGTTTCATTAATCAAGAACCTTTTACCAGCATCAAGGTAGACCTCCCTTCAAGGATGAGGATAAAATTTAGATACGAGATACAGAGATCAACTCGTCTCAGTGAAGTAGTACTTTAACCTCACTACCATGAGGACATGTTCCAGACCTCTTGTTCCTCTAATAAGTAATGTGTAACACAGCTTTATTAAGCTCCACTACATGGTACAATCATTTTATAAATGTAATAAAAAAAGTACATATCAAACTGAATGAGGTATGGAAAGGCTTCATAATCACTACTCTTCAGTTTTCAATTCATGTTTTTAATCACATGAAAAATTTAATTATATACATGAGCTGTATAATAAATCTGACAATGTAGTGTCTGTGTAAGCTGTACTGCATATAAAGTTTTAATATATTGTATCCAGATATGCAATAGTATTAATCTAAATTTGTGTGTTGTTTTATCAATTGGGGTACACATGGGCTTTCTAACAGACACAAAATATAATTTTGTTTACACACTGGCTGTCTCCCACTGAGGAAAGAGGAAATACACTCAGCATCATTCAGACAGTCTCCTTGTTGCCAGAAGTACGCTGACATGACACTTCGGATGACCCTCTGAAGTGTACCATCCCCACCCCTTCAAAGTACAGGAACTGTATTTCCATGACTCAAAACCAGTTACTCTGCATTGCTTCATGTTGTCTTGCTTGCAAGCAGTGTCAGTGTTCAGTAGAAGCCCCATATCTGCAGATTTGGTTTCCGCAATTTCAGTTATCCACGGTTTACCGTGGCCCAAAAATAACCCTTAATTTTGCTTAATAATGGCCCCAAAGCACAAAAGTTCTCTTAAGGCAGTTCTTCAAGGCCTAAGAGAAACCATGAAGTGCTTCCCACCAGTGAAAAAGTGCTAATTCTCCACTTATTGTGCGTAATTTGTCAATTAAACTTTATCATGGGCATGTATGTAAATGAAAAACATATACAGTGGACCCCCGGTTAATGATATTTTTTCACTCCAGAAGTATGTTCAGGTGCCAGTACTGACCGAATTTGTTCCCATAAGGAATATTGTGAAGTAGATTAGTCCATTTCAGAACCCCAAACATACACGTACAAATGCACTTACATAAATACACTTACATAATTGGTCGCATTGGGAGGTGATCGTTAAGTGGGGGTCCACTGTATAGGGTTCACTGCTATCTGTGGTTTTGGGTATCCGCAGCACATCTTCGAACTTATTCTCCGTGGACGCAGGGGACTACTGTATGTGTATGGGGATGCAAACAGCATATGTGAGACTATTTTGGAAGTACAGTGGGTGGATCATGGCATAATTGTATACACAAGTGGCAGATACAAGGGTCAGGTTGGGAATAATAGCACAATACTGCACAGTGGTCATGACTCTGGGACCAGCTCATGGATCACAGCATAGCTGATTTAAACATGAAACCAGATTTTAGACATGTGTAACCAGCTGATTTAGAGATATGAGACGAGATGATTTTGACATGTGAAACCAGATGATTTAGACGAATGAAATGAGATAATTTAGACATGTGAAAACAGATGATTCAGCCATATGAAATGAGGTAATTTAGACACTTGAAACCACATTTTAGACCTATGAAACCAGATGACTTAGACATAAAACCAGATAAGGGTTACAGTATAATGGTTTTAAATTTATTTTTTATTTTATTATCACACTGGCTGATTCCCACCAAGGCAGGGTGGCCCGAAAAAGAAAAACTTTCATCATCATTCACTCCATCACTGTCTTACCAGAAGGGTGCTTTACACTACAGTTTTTGAACTGCAACATTAACATCCCTCCTTCAGAGTGCCGGCACTGTACTTCCCATCTCCATTTAACCTTGATATATTGTTATAAACCATTGTCTTTTCACTTCTTCTTTGGCCCTTCAATAGATATTCCTTTATATTGGTGAAAGGCTTATGATCCACTGAATTAAAGTTACCCTCCCCTTCCTTGGCTCAAACCTCATTACTAATGCCTTCACAAATTTGTGGAGGTTACACTAACAGAGGTCTTGTAAATTCAGATTTTTATTTCTCATACATAAATATAGCTTACATATACAGGAGGGCCCCCGCTTTACAGCGCTTCACTTTATGGTGTTTCGCTGATGCAGCGGTTTTCAGTTATACTCATTCTTCATTTATTCAGACTTCCTACAATAAATATATTCACCACTCACTATAAGATAAAGACAAAAATGTTTTTAAGGTAAGTAATGTGTGAACTGTATATGCATTTTTTAGGCCTAGCTTTATTGCTTACTTAATGTATGATAGTGTAAGCATGTTATCAGGCTTTTATATTCACTTGGAAGTGTAAAAGGGCAATGTTTTGCTTCATAGCAGTAGCCTGGAACCTAACATGCTGTATTAATGGGTCTCTAAAGTAGCCCAGAACGGGACCTTACAATAGCCTTGAACCTAACCTGCTGTGTAAGTGGGACCCTCCTGTATTTCAGTATGCACTGTACAATTTTTGTTCTGTAAAAGTTAGCTGAAGTCAAAGTTTTATTTCCTCGTGAGACAGTATTTGTACAATGATGGAGTGAATGTTCTGTAAAAGTTAGCTGAAGTCAAAGTTTTATTTCCTCGTGAGACAGTATTTGTACAATGATGGAGTGAATGTTCTGTAAAAGTTAGCTGAAGTCAAAGATTTATTTCCTCGTGAGACAGTATTTGTACAATGATGGAGTGAATGTTCTGTAAAAGTTAGCTGAAGTCAAAGTTTTATTTCCTCGTGAGACAGTATTTGTACAATGATGGAGTGAATGTTCTGTAAAAGTTAGCTGAAGTCAAAGTTTTATTTCCTCGTGAGACAGTATTTGTACAATGATGGAGTGAATGATGAAAGCGTTTCTTCTTTTAAAGGTCACCCTGCCGATGTGCTAATAAAAAATAATTACGTACATTTATTATTTGATGCAAATGTTATCATTTTTTAATAGGAGAGAAGAAGAAGAGAGGCAGAGGGAAGAAGAAGAAAGAAGAAAAATAGAAGAGGAAGAACAGCGGAAGGAGGAGGAAGAAAGAAAAAAACAGGAGCAGACGAAGTAATTATCTTGTCCATGTTATTGTACCCCTAAACACAAACCGAGACTACTACTATGTGTTATTACTGTTACAATTACTACTAATATTACTGCTGTTATTACTACTACTGTTACTACAACAACTAATACTACAACTGCTGTTACACTCAGGGTGTGGGAGTATGACCACAGGTGGATTTCCCACACCTCTACCCCACCACACAATGTACCCTTGTTTACACAATTATTTTTACTAATATTTTTAAATGTATGAATATTGACTGTGAACATTGGCCCTTATATCATGCAGTACTCCAGTTACATTTCTCTTGTATACATTTCTCTTGTATATATTTAAGAAAAATTGTCAAAATGTTAGTCTTTGTGGGTGAAAATAGGGATGGGTTCTAAGATTGAAAGTTCATCCTTTTTATCTATGTTTTTCAAACTACAGTAGTTCCCCAATATCTGTGGGCGATATGTTCCGAGCCCTACCGTAGATAATGGTGAACACTGTATGAAATTTTTCGTTTACATACCTATGATAGTTTAACTGATAAATTATGCATGAAAAGTCAAGAATTGGCACTTTTTAACTGATGGGAGTCACTCCACTGCTTCTCTTAGGCTTTGAAAAACTGATACCGTTACTACCTTTGTGCTTTAGGGCCATTATTTAGTAAAATTTTTATTTTCGAGCCATGGTAAACAGCGGATAACTGAAACTGCGGAAACCGAGCCCACGGATACAGGGATTTTACTGTACATAAAAAAAAGTTATCGAAATGTTATTCCTTTTGGGTGAATATAGGGTTGGGTTCTAAGACTAAATGTTAGTAGTTTTTGCCCATGTTTTTCAAAGTATGTAATGTACAATACTACAGATTGTATGCTACATTAAAGTATATGTCTTCTGAAGCCAAATATCATGTACGAGCTTGTTAACCCTTTGACTGTTTCAGGCCCCTCTCTGAAACTGTCATTCTATGTCGCCAAATATTCAAAAAAAAAAAAAATTATTTTTTCTTATGAAAATGTTAAGATTATTTTTCTGAGTGTTTTAGTCCAAAAAAAAAAATTTTGCCATTGGTACTTACCGAGATATAGAGCCGTGAAGTTTGCAGAAAATGAGCCACGTATGGCAACAGCGGCGACTGCCGCTCACCCGGTAAACTTTAGTTTACTTGTATTTGAAGGTTTGTTGTTTTTTTCACTATTTTATTTTTTCACATAACTTATGTGGCCTATGAGACCAAAGTAAGGTGCAATGTATATATATACACTCGTTGTATACAACACAATAAGCACACAAACATAATTATCAATATATTGTTTTACAAAACTTGTTTTACACAAACAAACAAACAAACAAACAATTTTTTTTCTTCTTCTTCTTCTTCTTCTTCTTCTTCTTCTTCTTCTTCTTCTTCTTCTTCTTCTTCTTCTTCTTCTTCTTCTTCTTCTTCTTCTTCTTCTTCTTCTTCTCCTTCTTTCTTCTTCTCCTTCTTCTTCTTCTTCCTTCTTCTTCTTCTCCTTCTTCTTCTTCTCCTTCTTCTTCTTCTCCTTCTTCTTCTTCTCCTTCTTCTTCTTTCTCCTTCTTCTTCTTCTCCTTCTTCTTCTTCTCCTTCTTCTCCTTCTTCTTCTTCTCTTCTTCTTCTTCTCCTTCTTCTTCTTCTCCTTCTTCTCCTTCTCCTTCTTCTCCTCTTCTCCTTCTTTTTCCTTCTCCTTCTTCTTCTTCTCCTTCTTCTCCTTCTTCTCTCCTCCTTCTCCTCCTCCTTCTCCTCCTTCTTCTCCTCCTTCTTCTCCTCCTTCTTCTCCTTCTTCTCCTCCTTCTTCTCCTCCTTCTTCTCCTCCTTCTTCTCCTCCTTCTTCTCCTCCTTCTTCTCCTCCTTCTTCTCCTCCTCCTCCTTCTCCTCCTCCTCCTCCTTCTCCTCCTTCTCCTCCTTCTCCTCCTCCTCCTCCTTCTCCTCCTTCTCCTCCTTCTCCTCCTCCTCCTTCTCCTCCTTCTCCTCCTCCTCCTTGTGTGCGAGTGTGTGGCTTATAATTGTTTTGAGTCAGAAGTCGGCAGCTGTCAAAGTGACATATTATCTCATTAGTCACTACCCCTACCCCTGTCAAAACAATGGGGTCGGATGCTGCTTCCCCTCCATTCTATCTAATTATCTTTCTCCCTCATTCTATATCTTTCAATCTGTCTCTCTTTCTGTCTGCCTATCTCTGTCTCACAGGTACACATAAATACAAGTATACATAGTGTAAATTACCTAGGATAACCCAAGAAATCCAGACAAAGTGCTATACTCTGCTTGAAGATGTGAGTAAACGTGATGACACAGTCTTGTGGCTCTCTCTGAGACAGAGAGCTAGATGGACAGACAGGGAGCTTGACAGACAGACAAATAGACAGACAGAAATGTTTGTGTACCAGCAAAAACAAAGGGAGGCGATGGTCATGTAATATTACCCTCCTTTACGCTCATCAAAGTCAGTCTTATCAGATGTTATCTCCCCTTATCTTGTCACTGTCATGGGGTGGGACTTTTTTTTTTCTTGCTTCAAGGGAACAATATTATTACATCTTCTTCTTCTCATCCTCTCCTCCTCTTCTCCTCCTCCTCCTCCTCCTCCTCCTCTTCCTTCCCTCCTCCTCCTCCTCCCCCTCCTCTTCCTCCCCTCCCTCCCCCTCCTCCTCCTCCATTGCTTTTGGTCTCAAACTCCTCCAAATCATGAAATTGATCTTCACTGACACTTCCATCTGTGTTAGAGCATCACTTGGGAAGAGAAGAGTCCCAGATTTGCTGGGGAATCACATATTTCTTAACCACTAGACATGCTGAAAAATGACAACTGAAATGGCATTCCCACAATGCACCACTGGCTCCCCGATTTTTTTTATATGGTGCACACTGACCATGGAGACCCATTCTCTCACATGTGGGCCTAGCAGCTTTCTCCTGCTTGATTTGAAGCTGCTAGAATTTATGCGTATAAATACGTCAGAAACATTGGCTCGTAAGACGTATTTATACGTTGGAAACAGTCAAAGGGTTAAAAGAATTGACATGATAAGATTATAGCAGAATGCTTCAAGACTATTTTTTTTTTTTCCATACTTTTGTCATAGCTGCTCCATATGCCTTTTACTTGGAATTAAAAAATATAGTACAGTGGACCCTCGACCAACGATGGCATTAACGATAAATCCGACTAGCGATACATTTTAACGCAAAAATTTTGCCTCGACTAGCGCTAAAAAACTTGACCAACACTATTCGTTCCTTCTGAGATGCGTCCACTTCTGGCCAGTGTTTACAAGCCAGTCAACCACAGCGGTCGCTTCCAAGCATACAATCGGAACATTTCATATTATCACAGCCTTTTTAGTGATTGCACCTGCAAAATAAGTCACCATGGGCCCCAAGAAAGCTTCTAGTGCCAACTCTACAGCAAAAAGGGTGAGAATTACTATGGATATGAAGAAAGAGATCATTGCTAAGTATGAAAGTGGAGTGCGTGTCTCCGAGCTGGCCAGGTTGTACACAAAACCCCAATCAACCATCGTATGTTTTCGAAACTGAGACCGCATGTACTCGAAGATGTTGAGAGACTGTTATTGGTGTGGATAAACGAAAAACAGATAGCAGGAGATAGCATCTCTCAAGCGATCATATGTGAAAAGGCTAGGAAGTTGCATGACGATTTAATTAAAAAAAATGCCAGCAACTAGTGGTGATGTGAGTGAATTTAAGGCCAGCAAAGGTTGGTTTGAGAGATTTAAAGGGAAGGGAAATAACCCCGGAAAAGGACTTGCCACCTCAAGTGCTAATGGAAGGGGATTCCCCTTCTAAACACTAAGACCATCAACACTCTCCCCTCCTCCCATCCCATCAATCATCACCAGATCTTCAATAAAGGTAAGTGTCATGTAACTGTGCATGTCTTCTTCAGTTTGTGTGTATTAAAATTAATATTTCATGTGGTAAAAACAATTTTTTTTTCATACTTTGGGGTGTCCTACACGGATTAATTTGATTTCCATTATTTCTTATGGGGAAAATTAACTTGACTAACGATAATTTTGACTAACGATGAGCTCTCAGGAACGGATTAATAGCGTTAGTCGAGGGTCCACTGTATTACAAACTTTTATAAATATATACTGTATAAAAACTGAAGATTAACCAATGAATTGAACTAAGGCGACAGATCCAGGAGGCCCTAAACCAGCAGACGTACGAACAGTTCCGCAAGTATGCTGAGCAGCAGTTCCCCGGCAATCCTGAACAAGTGAGCACTGGCTTAGGGGCGTCACTGTACAATAAGTCCTCGACTTAGAGACACGATGAGAATTTTCTGTTTTCTATATCATTATACACAATAAAGACGGTCCTCAGTGTGTTCCTAAGTTGAGGACTTACTGTATCGGTGGGTATCAGCACCTCAGATTGAGTATAAGTAATGCCAGAAATTTTGATATCCCATTACTAGAAGATAAATTGCTGTTAATATTTTAATTTATAGTTTTGAAAATTTTTGTTTTTTGTCTTAATTACCAGTACTAATTTTTAAGAAGTTTCTATAGGCCTTGTTTCATTAGCTCTTCTGCAGTGCTCCTTTTTTTCTCTCTTTCTTACACTACCTCCACTACTACTACTACTGCTACTATTACTACTAATATTACTATTGCCTTGCTAACACTCCACTCTCTGACTCTTGTGTCACTACTAATACTTCCTTACCACTTCTGCCACTGTTGCACTACTTACTACTACTACTGTTTCCAGTACTTCAAACTTTATTCTGCTACCTTCTTTGTTCTCCAGTCCCTGCCCCGTCTCATGTATACAGACACTTCTCACTTAACAACCTACCTGTTTAACAACCACATGGACTTACGTCCAGCTCTTCATCCAGTTGGTTGAAGTGAAAGATATTGAAGAATTATTGGAATATGTTGAGGGAGGGCTTACTAATGAAACTTTAATAGAGTTGAAAGTGCAACAGCACTTGTAAGATGAAGAATAAGAGGAAAGAATTGAAGAAGTATGGAATGGAACTCAGTTCTTAAGTGACGAGTGCTTGTATATACTAGCTCCCTTCCCTTCGTGCGACTGAAACATCATAAGTTTCTTTCTCTGTTATGCTATCACCCAAGACACATAGTTCTTTAGCTTTAGGTATCATTCTAAACTGCTCCATTTTGCCATTTATATGAAAGGGAATAAGGAAAAGAAAATAGATTTGGGCATATGAAAGCCACTGAGCAAATTTCCAACAAAATCCTATTCTAACTCTGGTTTTCAATCTAAGTACCATCTGCCAGGTACAGGTGCTCTTCAACTTACAATGGTTCAACTTAAGATATTTCAAGTTTACGATTGTTCAAAAGCACTTACTTTTGAGGTAAAATTTAAGATAATTACCCAGCATGAACACAGCAAGTCCATCACTTGTATTCATTCATTTACTTTTCATTACTGGTATTTAGTTACAGTAATGATCTGTATATTTACTTGTTTATTTATTTATTTACTTATTTGCATATATTCATATTTGACTTACAATATTTTTGACTTACATGGGATTTGTCAGAACATAACCCCATCATAAGTCAAAGAGCACAAAAATAACCATCTTTACAGATGAAAGTAAATTATATGTTAGTGGGAATGGCATGAATGTGTTACAGGAAATATGTTATCATTTTATTCATAGTGCAGTAGTCCCCCCATATCTGCAGGGGATACATTCCAATACCTACTGTGGATACCCGGGATCATGGATAATAGCGAATCCTATACACCTACCATCCGACTTACGACCGTGTTTTTTATGCCAAATTTCTGGGAAATAAACAACTATTTGTGTTGTACACAGTGGTTATCCTAAACCTTACAGTATAAAATACAGTACTAACAGCATAAAAAGTAAAGTAAAACATGAAATACCAAAATAAAACAATAAAATAATGTCATTACAAAAATGTTTTGTTGATATTCAGTAGTAAAGTTCGACTTACGACCATTTCAACCAGTTTCTCAGAACCGAACTCGGTCGTAAGTCGGATGGTAGGTGTATATGAATCATGTTTCATTTACATACCTTTGACAAAGTTTAATTGATGAATTATGTGCAGTAGGTTAAGAATTAGTACTTTTTCACTGATGGGAAGCACTTCCTGGTTTCTCTTAGACTTTGAAGACTGTCACCATTACTACTTTCGTGCTTTGGTGTCATTATAAATCAAAATTAAGGGTTATTTTCGGGCTACAGTAAAGTGTGGATAACTGAAACCATGGAAACCAAATCCGCAGATATTGGGGTTCTACTGTATATTAGTTATTCAGTACAATACTAATATTTTATAAACATTGCAGCAAGCAGTGTTGATCAGACAGTTGCAAGATCAGCATTATCAGCAGTACATGCAGCAAGTCTACCAACAGCAGCTTCTCCTGCAACAACAAGCAGCAGCAGCAGCACCAGCTGCAGCAACAGCACCAAGACCTATCTTCAGAAGTAATGGAAGAAGTATGCAAGACTTAATTTATACACCAGCATGCTTTGCAGAAATAAGTAACAGTTTGTGTAGGTTTTACTAAGGACTGAATCAGTGGCCTTGTATTTCTAAGTTGTACCTTCACCAACTTAGCCACATCAAGTTCAGTTAGCTGGAGGTGAAGGTGAGAAGAACAATGTCTACACTCTGGAGGAGGAGTGGGGATGTTACAGTTGAGAGGGTCATCTATGATAAGACAGCTGTTGAATGAGTGATGAGCGAGTGAATTTCCTTTTCTGTGGGTCATCCTGCAGGTGGTAGATGGCCAGTGTGTTAACCCTTTAACTGTGTCCGAAATACAGTAAGTCCTCGGCTTACAAACATGTTGGGGACCTCCTGAATTGTGTATAATAATGATATTATACACAAAAATGATGATATGCATATTACAAAAGATTCTCAATGTGCTGGTACTGTGTCTGACATACTAGTATGCACCATTTTTTGTACCCTCTTTTCTGCCACCTGCCAATATTTTTTGCCTCATTGCAACACCTTGGGTCTTCTATTTATACATTTGGAAAAGTAAAAATTAAGGCCAACAGGGTCCACAAAATGTATCATGGTTAAATACTCAGGGGATGACTGCATGTCCAAGTCACTAGCAAAAGTCAACTAAGGAACCAGGATTTGTTGTTTCACCACCAGCTTCCCTACCAGCAAACAAGGTGTGCAAGTTGCTCAAAGATGACTTACTCAGTCCAAATTTATTGCAACTTAATGATACTAAGTGGAATAATTCAGCCACAAATCACACTAGGTATAAACCCAAGGATAACCCAGTAAAGCCAGACCATGTGAATAATTTCCATGTTTTGACGAGTATTACACTGTGAAACAATTGTTATAAGGTATTCCTTGTACATATTAGAAAACTAAAATAAAAAAAAAAGAAAAGCCAGTCTTACTGTACATATGCCATATATGTATATACTATATAGATTATTCTTAATGAATCAATGTTTGAAGTGCTAAAACACCTTGAAACACATCTAATATATAAAATTAGTATATATAGCATTAACCCTTTTAGGGTTGGAACCCCCGAGTTGAAACTTGCTCTCAGGGTCGGAGAATTTTTTTTTGTGAAATATGGAAATCCTTTTCTGAAGGTAATGATATCAAAAGTATGAAATTTGATGGAAAGTATATGAAATTACACTCTTGCAAAGTTATCAGTCTCGGTAATATTTATACAGTAATTTCACCCACTTCGAGCCCTATTTTCAGTTACCTTTTTTTTTCTATTGTTCCAGTCGACTGAACTCGTAGCTATTTTGCTAGTACAGTGGACCCCCGGTTAACGATATTTTTTCATTCTAGAAGTATGTTCAGGTGCCAGTACTGACCGAATTTGTTCCCATAAGGAATATTGTGAAGTAGATTAGTCCATTTCAGACCCCCAAACATACACATACAAACGCACTTACATAAATACACTTACATAATTGGTTGACATTGGGAGGTGATCGTTAAGCGGGGGTCCACTGTATTCCTTTTAACTATTGAGTACAAAATAACATCCACTTACCTATTTTAACTACCCATAAAATGATCAGAAATCTGTAATTTGGCCAATTTCACACAAAAATAAAAAAATTACCAATTCAAAAATAGAATCCAGAATAATCAGTGTAAACATTCCTAGCACTAAAAAAAACATTGCCTCTGTTCATTAGTTAGGTCTCTAGGCCTCTACTGTATTACACTTGCTTTCCATTTTGAATTTTTATTCAGACATAAAATAGAAAATTTACTGTTACGCAGACTACTGCATTGTAGTAATAATTGTATAAATAATGTCAGCACAACAAGTTGGACACGTACTTGACTAGTGACATAATTGCATACTCTGGAATACGTATTGTAAAAAATAAAAATAAACATTTCCGCTACTTTTGGCCCTGAGAGCAATGAAAATCATCTCTATTTCCAGTCTATCGAATGAGACCAAGAAACAGAATACAACCATTAAAACCATACAAAAATAGACCACAAAATTGCCGTTTTATAGCAAAAACACGGTTGCAATTTTTTCCTATGCACTACATGCTGCAGGATTTTTTTTTGATATGATGCACACTTACTGCATAGACTCGTTCTCTTGTATCTAGGCCCAAATTTACCATCACAGTGTATCTGAGAGAGCTGAGCTCATGGCGTAGTACTACGGCACGAACAGCGATCTCAAAGCCATGGTATAACAGGATTCACCCCAAATGTTAAACATTAAAAGCAATTAAAAATCAATTAGAAACAATCAGTGTCAAAAATTGTAAAAATTGTAAAGATCGTGAACAACGAACTGTCCGCAAAGTGGATTATGAATATTATTTTTCACCAACGCCTTATATGCTAAGCTTTATTTCAGAGATGCTGCTAGATTTCATTCTAGGCAATTGGTGGAAAAATGGAAACTATTGGAACTTAAGAAAAAAAATGTTTTTTTTTATGTTCGACATTAAATCCACACACGATCACTAAATGTTCTTTATCCTAGGTCGCCAAAAGTTTAAAAGGTTATAATAGAGAATGCTTTAAGAGAGAACAATAAAATAGTAATATAAGTTTAGCACAATATCTAAATCAGCCCCAAAATAATTTGGTAACCTTTTAAGCCTGGCAAGACAGAGAGGTAACAGAAGGGAAGTCGGGAGTGGAATCCCTGTTAAAACCTCAGCGTCAGAATTTTCATTTTAACTCCAGACGCTGTGTGTATTGTATTTCTGAGAATGATTATTTTATATTTAGTCAATTCAGAATGATTACAAGTAAAGTTACACAAAATGGTCAATTGATAAAGGCAGAGTAATTAATAGTATTAAAAGTGGGAAAAATGAGGTAAAAGGAAGAGTTAACATGGATAGTCTGATAAAATGGTAAGGCAGAGTTACAGTAGTGACAATGTATAAAGGCAGAGTTATAAGTAGTGACATGATGGTAAAGGCAGGTTACAGATGTGACAAAAAGTTAAATGGACATTGATGGTAAAGGCAGGGTTACAGGTAGTGACAATGATGGTAAAGGCAGAGTTACAGGTAGTGACAATGGTGGTAAAGGCAGAGTTACAGGTAGTGACAATGATGGTGAAGGCAGAGTTACAAGTAGTGACATTGATGGTAAAGGCAGAGTTACAGGTAGTGACAATGATGGTAAATGCAGAGTTACAAGTAGTGACAATGATGGTAAAGCCAGAATTACAAGTAGTGTATAGTAGTCACCCCCATCCTCCGTATCTGCGAGGGATACATACCAAGTCCTACCATGAATACCCAAAACCGCAGATAGTAGTGAACCCCCATAAGTCATTTTTCATTTACATACATACTTAGGATAAAGTTTGATAAATTTTGCACAAGAAGTGGAGTATTGGCACTTTTTCACTGGTGGGAAGCATTTCACAGCTTCTCTTAGGCTTTGAAGAACTTCCAGCATCACTACTTTTGCACTTTGAGGCCATCATTAAGCAAAATTAAGTGTTATTTTTGGCCGTGGTGAACCATGGAAACCGGGGTCTGTGGCTAGGTGGCACAGCTCTTGCTTCACATGGTGAGGGTCCGAGTTTGATTCCTGGCAAGGGTGTAATCATCGGGCACGTTTCCTTACACTGGTTGTCCGTGACTGGTGTGGGTCACATCCTGGGACAAAATTGACCTGATTTGCCTGAAATGCTCTGCATAACAAGGGGCTTTCTGTATAGTAATATGTTATTGATGTCAGCTAGGCCTGTATACCTTCTACATGTACTTGTGGAAATAAGATAATATAATGCTACATAAATTTTTATATAGCATTTTATGTAGCTTTATACATGATACAATCCTGCATTTACTACTCACAGCATGGTATAATGTAACATATAATCACCACTTCCAACTGACCACCACATCTCTGCACACCAGGTCATGTTACCATCTTTGACAGTCATCTTGTATGTCACAGTAATCCGTCTCAATTGCCATGTTAGTTGCAGCAACCTGGTAATCACGTGTAGATTACATGCATTTACTGTCCACTAAGTTCACATACCTGGAGGAGTTGAAGATTGAGACACTTATGCAGCATATGGGAGTCTTTATTCCCATATGCTGCGTAAGTGTCTCAGTCTTCAACTTGTCGGTTTTTCAAACCATTCATCACATACCTGGAGGAGGTTTGGGAGTCAGTGCCTCCATGACCCAGTCCTTGAGTAGGAAATTATTTTTTACACTGACCTCTAAATCCATGGTGGATTACTGCAAATTTTCATTAAACTTATTTACCTCCCATTCACCACATTATTTCCCTTATGGGTTTATCTCTTCTTCAAGAAAGTAACAGTCTTCCATCATTTTTGTAACAAGCCTCTCTTTGTACTAATTCTAATATTTTTGTTGCCTCTCTTTTGTAATAATACATAATTTAAATTTGCCTTTCAAAATAACCTGTGTCTGATCTTAAGTAGACTGTGAGAATTAGAATTAGTCTTCCTGAAATTCTCATGCATGTTAGTGACTTTCTTTGTGCTTTCAATATTTCAATCACTTGTAAACTAAACTTTGAAACTCCACGAAGAAAGCCGTTTATTATCATAATTTCACACTTGATAATAATTAATAATTGCATATTTCAGATTCGTGCCAAAATATTGCTCCAGCTTCCATGTGGACAAGACGAGATATACAAGACTTCAAGGAGTCTATCAGGCGTGAGGGCGGAGACTCCGTCATTAAAGTTGGACATGGAGAGACTGTTACCGTGAGCTGTTTTCTCTGCAGTTCTTTCTCTTTTGTGCAACACTTTCACAAAAGAGAAAGTGTTTGAAAATGAAAAACTTAAAAAGTGTTAAAAAAAACACTTTATAAAGTGTTGCTTGTTTTTGAACATTTTCGTGAAAGTTTTTTTAGTGTTTTTCTGTTTCGTAAAAATGGTTCTTTTTTGGGGCCACCCTATGCTGGTGTGTTAAAAAATAAATTACAGTAAACCCTCAATTTAAAAAATCTATATTTAATTGGCTTCACAAATACTAGACAACATCCAGTGGGGTCATGCAATTGAGAAGTGATGGATGAGGTTTGTTTACAGATTTATCTGACGTTACGTTCACGGCAAAAAAAAAACTATTCTTGATTTAAAACCGATAGCCCTCATCCCTCTAATTTCCCAGGTTCTGTAGGACCCTTTTTTTCTAATGCTTTCTCATAAATAATAAACTCTGAAAGATGGGTAGAAATTTGTTGCAGTTTATGAACTGTAGTATTGGCACACCTCTTGCAAGAAAACATTGGACTGAGTGATGATGAAAGGGTTTCTTCTTGTTTTGGATCACCTTTCCTCTGTGGGAAACGATCGACATGTTAAAAGCTGCATTATTTTTGTATCACAAAGAATTTATTTATTTATTATCACACTGGCCGATTCCCACCAAGGCAGGGTGGCCCGAAAAAGAAAAACCCCCACCATCATTCACTCCATCACTGTCTTGCCAGAAGGGTGCTTTACACTACAGTTTTTAAACTGCAACATTAACACCCCTCCTTCAGAGTGCAGGCACTGTACTTCCCATCTCCAGGACTCAAGTCCAGCCTGCCGGTTTCCCTGAACCCCTTCATAAATGTTACTTTGCTCACACTCCAACAGCACGTCAAGTATTAAAAACCCATTTGTCTCCATTCACTATCAACACGCTCACGCATGCCTGCTGGAAGCCCCAAGCCCCCGCACACAAAACCTCCTTTACCCCTCTCTCCAACCTTTCCTAGGCCGACCCCTACCCCGCCTTCCTTCCACTACAGACTGATACACTCTTGAAGTCATTCTGTTTCGCTCCAATTTCTCTACATGTCCGAACCACCTCAACAACCCTTCCTCACCTCTGGACAACAGTTTTGGTAATTCCGCACCTCCTCCTAATTTCCAAACACGAATTTTCTGCATTATATTCACACCACACATTGTCCTCAGACATGACATCTCCACTGCCTCCAGCCTTCTCCTCGCTGCAACATTCATCACCCATGCCTCACACCCATATAAGAGCGTTGGTAAAAAATATACTCTCATACATTCCCCTCTTTGCCTCCCAAAGGGCAAAGTTCTTTGTCTCCACAGACTCCTAAGTGCACCACTCACTCTTTTCCCCTCACAATTCTATGATTCACCCCATCTTTCATAGACCCCTCCGCTGACACGTCCCCTCCCAAAAAATCTGAATACATTTACCTCCTCCATACTCTCTCCCCTCCAATCTGATATTCAATCTTTCATCACCTAATCTTTTTGTTATCCTCATAACCTTACTCTTTCCTGTATTCACCTTTTAAATTTTCTTCTTTTGCACACCCTACCAAATTCATCCACCAATCTCTGCAACTTCTCTTCAGAATCTCCCAAGAGCACAGTGTCATCAGCAAAGAGCAGCTGTGACAACTCCACTTTGTGTGTGATTCTTTATCTTTAACTCCACGCCTTTTGCGAAGACCCTCGCATTTACTTCTCTTACAACCCCATCTATAAATATATTAAACAACCACGGTGACATCACACATCCTTGTCTAAGGCCTACTTTTACTGGGAAAAAATTTCCCTCTTTCCTACATACTCTAACTTGAGCCTCACTATCCTTGTAAAAACTCTTCACTGCTTTCAGTAACCTACCTCCTACACCATACACTTGCAACATCTGCCACATTGCCCCCCTATCCACCCTGTCATACGCCTTTTCCAAATCCATAAATGCCACAAAGACCTCTTTAGCCTTATGTAAATACTGTTCACTTATATGTTTCACTGTAAACACCTGGTCCACACACCCCCTACCTTTCCTAAAGCCTCCTTGTTCATCTGCTATCCTATTCTCCGTCTTACTCTTAATTCTTTCAATAATAACTCTACCATACACTTTACCAGGTATACTCAGCAGACTTATCCCCCTATAATTTTTGCACTCTCTTTATCCCCTTTGCCTTTATACAAAGGAACTAGCATGCTCTCTGCCAATCCCTAGGTACCTTACCCTTTTCCATACATTTATTAAATAATTGCACCAGCCACTCCAAAATTATATCCCCACCTGCTTTTAACATTTTCTATCTTTATCCCATCAATCCCGCTGCCTTACCCCCTTTCATTTTACCTACTGCCTCACGAACTTCCCCCACACTCACAACTGGCTCTTCCTCACTCCTACAAGATGTTATTCCTCTTGTCCTATACACGAAATCACAGCTTCCCTATCTTCATCAACATTTAACAATTCCTCAAAATATTCCCTCCATCTTCCCAATACCTCTAACTCTCCATTTAATAACTCTCCTCTCCTATTTTTAACTGACAAATCCATTTGTTCTCTAGGCTTCTTAACCTGTTAATCTCACTCCAAAACTTTTTCTTATTTTCAACAAAATTTGTTGATAACATCTCACCCACTCTCTCATTTGCTCTCTTTTTACATTGCTTCACCACTCTCTTAACCTCTCTCTTTTTCTCCATATACTCTTCCCTCCTTGCATCACTTCTACTTTGTAAAAACTTCTCATATGCTAACTTTTTCTCCCTTACTACTCTCTTTACATCATCATTCCACCAATCGCTCCTCTTCCCTCCCGCACCCACTTTCCTGTAACCACAAACTTCTGCTGAACACTCTAACACTACATTTTTAAACCTACCCCATACCTCTTCGACCCCATTGCCTATGCTCTCATTAGCCCATCTATCCTCCAATAGCTGTTTATATCTTACCCTAACTGCCTCTTTTAGTTTATAAACCTTCACCTCTCTCTTCCCTGATACTTCTATTCTCCTTGTATCCCATCTACCTTTTACTCTCAGTGTAGCTACAACTAGAAAGTGATCTGATATATCTGTGGCCCCTCTATAAACATGTACATCCTAAAGTCTACTCAACAGTCTTTTATCTACCAATACATAATCCAACAAACTACTGTCATTTCGTCCTACATCATATCTTGTATACTTATCCTCTTTTTCTTAAAATATGTATTACCTATAACTAAACCCCTTTCTATACAAAGTTCAATCAAAGGGCTCCCATTATCATTTACACCTGGCACCCCAAACTTACCTACCACACCCTCTCTAAAAGTTTCTCCTACTTTAGCATTCAGGTTCCCTACCACAATTACTTTGTCACTTGGTTCAAAGGCTCCTATACATTCACTTAACATCTCCCAAAATCTCTCTCTCCTTTGCATTCCTCTCTTCTCCAGGTGCATACACGCTTATTATGACCCACTTCTCGCATCCAACCTTTACTTTAATCCACATAATTCTTGAATTTACACAAAGAAATAAAAAATTAATTTGAACAATATCAGTATGCAAAAGGTCAGATTTCTAATTTGCAGTTAATTTTTATGCAGGTGCGAGTACCCACCCACGAAGACGGTACCTGCCTGTTTTGGGAGTTTGCTACAGACAGTTACGACATTGGATTTGGTGTGTACTTCGAGTGGACTAAAGACTCGAGCAATGTGGTATCAGTGCACATTTCTGAGAGTGAGGATGAAGAGGAGGAAGACTTAGAAGGTGAGTGAACCCCTATTTTACACTTGTGATTGTCAGTGCCATTGCAGTAAGTCCTTGACTTACAAACTTAGTGAGAATCTTTTGTATTGTATATATCACTATACAGTGGACCCTCGCCTAACGAACGCATCACATAACGTTAAATTCGCCTAACAATACATTTTAACGCTAACTTTTGCCTCGGCTAACGCTAAAAAACTTGCCTAACGATATTCGTTCTCGGGTACCAATTAATATCGTTAGGCGAGGGTCCACTGTACATTATATTACAGTACCCTGTGGCTGAAGCTCTCGCTTCACACGGTGAGGGTAGAAACGTTGGGTGTGTTTCTTTACACTGGTTGTCTGTGTTCCCCATCAGTAAAATGGGTGTTAGTCGACTGGTGTGGGTCACATCCTGGGTGTTAGTCAACTGGTGTGGGTCAAATCCTTGGACAGAACTGACCTAATTTGCCCGAAATTCTCTGCATACTTTGTACATGTACTTGTACAAATGGAATTATTATTATATCACAGTACAGAGGTCCCCAATGTGTTCGTAAGTTGAGTACTTCCTGTAATAACAATGACAATTAAGGGGCTGAATAGAGTATAAAGTTCTGATAATTATAGTGTGACTCAATTATTATTTTGATTATTACATTCATAGGGTTTAGCAGCACCTAGGGGAATAGAAGGCATTCAGACTTGATTCTAGGACTTGAAGCACAGGTCTAGTTCCAACACAAACAATACGATGAAAAAAGATAAGTTTCCCAGAAACCTTTATCCAGTAGTTCCTCCGTATCTGCAGGGGATACTTTCTAAAACCTACTGTGGATACCTGAAACTGCAGATAGTAGCAAACCCTATATTTAAGTACTTTTTCATTGACATACGTGCCTACGATGAGTTTAATTGATAAATTCTGCACAATAAGTTGAGAATTAGCACTTCACGACTACTCTTAGGCTTTGAAGAACTGTCACCAAAACAACTACTGTGCTTTTGTATCATTATTAAGCAAAATTAAGGGTTGTGTTCGGGCTAGGATAAACTGCAGAAACCATATCTGCGGATATGGCAATTCTGCTGTATTTTAAATACAGCCTCTTCTCACTTAATGATGGAGTTCCATTCCTGAGACCACGTCTTTAACCCTTAAATGGTCCAAACGTATATATACGTTTTTTTCAACATCTGAGAGTATGTAAAAAAATGTAGATCTTCTTTTTTGTTTTACATTTGAAAACGTGTAAAAAAAAGTAGATCTACTTTTGTAGCACTACGAATTTGAACGTCGATCTGTTTGGACCATTTAAGGGTTAAACGAATTCATCGCTAAGCGAGGGGCATACTTTAATGGTAGCGAGTTTGTGTCAACCATCTTTGATATTGTTTTAATGTCATCTTTGTACCATTTATAACATTTCTGGCATATTTTTAAATGTTTATACAGAAGTGTACTGTATATTGAAATAAACAGGAGAGAAAATCAGTTCTAATATACATTATTTAGGTATAAATACTGGTCAGAGAGCCTGTCGTAAGTCTGAGGTGACAATAAACGAGTACATCGCTGAGGAGAGGCTGTAGTGATGTTCTCAAAATGTTTCATCTTTCAAGTTTAGATGCAGCTAATTGTACCCATGTTGCAGGCGAGGGCGATGACATCGAACGACTGGCAGGAAGAAAGCACGAGAGCGGCAGACCAGCACAGTCGGTGATTATTCCAGTGTACCGCCGTGACTGTTACGAGGAAGTGTACGCTGGCTCTCACACTTACCCTGGTACGGGAGTTTACCTTCTCAAGTTTGATAACTCTTATTCTCTCTGGCGAAGCAAGACACTTTACTATCGTGTGTACTATACCAGGTGAGACAGAGAAGCGTAAAGCTAGAAGTACCAAGGTTATTAAATCGACACTATTGGTGTATTAGTGTAATAAGTAGCAACCTTTGTCTTTACTGAAAACTTGGATGGGGCTTGTTGCATCTTATGCAAATGGACAAATCGTTTAATTATTTTTGTAAATATAATATTTTGCTAAGCAGAAATTTAACACCAGCATTAAAAATATACAAAACTAGCCGGCTTATAGTTTGCAATATCCAAGTGTTCCACTTACAGTTTCAAGGTCCTTCCAGTGCACAAAGTGTTGCTAATATTTCAATAAAGTGTTTATATGTAAATAAGGGAACAATTCAGAACATGTTATGCGATTTTTTCATGTCTTGATATATAGTAAATTCTCAGTGTAATGGACGAAAGAAATATGGAATAAAATCTGCTGGGGTCAACTGACTTAAAAATAATGGACGAAGTCCTTTGTTTATGGCAAAACAATCACCACAGTTGCCATTACCCGTCACTTGCTCCTCTATATTAATCCAATATGTTAAGGGTTTACAGTACTGATGTTCCATATCATTTGCTACGAATGTGTGACAGTGGATATATTCAAAGAAGAAGTCTCCATTCTGTATGGTAGTGAGAGATGAACTTTTGTTATCTTGCCGTGTAATACAGAGATCACCGACATATGAACGAGTTGCGGTTGTCCGCACTTAATGAACGAGGTGCGAAAGATGTACCATTGAGAAAATTGCAGTTATAAATATTTTTTTTTTTTTTTTTTTTTATTATCACACCGGCCGATTCCCACCAAGGCAGGGTGGCCCGAAAAAGAAAAACTTTCACCATCATTCACTCCATCACTGTCTTGCCAAATATGTTGTATTGTATTATTTATTGTATTATTTAATGTAAAATTATAGATTCCAGATTTTTCTTTTGGTCAACTATTTAGGATCTTTAACCGTAGGTTGATATGAGGTTCGTGTATGCACGTTGTTAATTACAAAAATATTTCGTGGATTCTGGCTTCACAATCTTTAAAATTTGTCTCTTGTGTCAAAATTTTTTTTTGTTGAAGCTGCACTATGTGTTAAGAAAAAGTGTATTAGAAAAAGTAATGACCCCACGTATGGGGGGTCATTACCTTTTCTAATATGTGCTACTAAACGTTTTGTTGAATTGGCAAATTTTGGTTAAAATAAAAATTCCTTAACGTGTTTCTGTACTAACTGTGGAAAGTGTTTATGAGGTATTTTTAAGTTAAAAATATTGAGTAGAAAATTAATTTTATAGCATTTTTTCAGATTTCGGTTATGTAGGTTCTTCAGGAAATGACAATTTTTTTTTCAGAGCTGTTTAAATTATTGGAAATGGAATATATGTAAATATTACAATAAGACAGACTAGGTACACAATGGTTTAAGTTAGCAAATGGTAATTTCAGCGAGACTCGACATGAAAATCTTTACGTAATGGAAAACCCACAGTGGAAGGGCCCTTGATGTAACACTGTGGTGATCCATCATGAAATGAATGTTTTTCCCAGCTAAAAAAAAAAAATCTTTGAAATTGCCAACCTGGAGTATTTAACACAGCTGTGGTGGTTACTTTTATTAGCAACAATGTTTTGTCCACATGGCTTTTATTAGTCAATGACTATTGTTAACAAGACACACATGGCAAAAGGAGACCTATTGTTAATACAACATTTCACCTACACAAGGCTTTTTATCAAGTAGAGTAAATGACCAGCATAATGGACCTCGATATGGACTTTTAAAATTTTAGTCAAAATTCACTGGTTAAACAGCACTTATACTGCAATAAATATTGATAAAGGAATTATATCTGAAAATTATGCATACAGTACTTTATTAGGTATAGAGTACTTTAATGCACTGTTTTTTACCATTTTCAACATCAATAAAGGACACTCCCTTTCCATTAGTCTCTTATATCAGACTTGTACTGTTCTTGGTAAAGATATGTGGAACTTTGTACTAATAAATAGATGTGGAACTTCATACAGCCTCTCCTCACTTAACGACAGAGTTCCTTTCCTGAGACCACGTTGGTAAACAAATTCGTTACTAAGTGAGGATCATACTATAATGGTAATGGGTTTGTGTCAGTCATCTTTGATATTGTTTTAATGTCACCTTTGCACCAATTATAACATTTCTGGTATATTATTAAATATTTATTCATATAGTCGGACTTGAGTCCTGGAAATGGGAAGTACAATGCCTGCACTTTAAAGGAGGGGTTTGGGATATTGGCAGTTTGGAGGGATATGTTGTGTATCTTTATATGTGTATGCTTCTAGACTGTTGTATTCTGAGCACCTCTGCAAAAACAGTGATAATGTGCGAGTGTGGTGAAAGTGTTGAATGATGATGAAAGTATTTTCTTTTTGGGGATTTTCTTTCTTTTTTGGGTCACCCTGCCTCGGTGGGAGACGGCCGACTTGTTGAAAAAAAAAAAAAAAAAAAAAAATTTATACAGTAGTGTACTGTATATTGTAATAAACAGAATAGAGGAAATCAGCTCTAATATACATTATTTAGGCATGCATACTGATCAGAGAACCTGTAGTAAGTCCGAGTCGTCGGTAAACAAGTACGTTGCTAAGTGAGGAGAGGCTGTACTAATAAAGGGACATGAAATGTTGTAAAAATAAAGTTTTCACCTTTCTGTGCCTTTTACCACTTATCAGATATTCCAGACTCCAACTTCAACTTTAATAAAAATTTCCACTGCATCTAAGTGTTATTTATTCCCGTTGACATAAGTTTTCTTGTATGAGTGTTTATAAGCTTTGCTGCTGTAAATTACTGTATAATGCTGGTAGGCTTTTTGCTGTATATATAAACTTCTTCCTGCTTTTCATATTTATGTTTTTATATAGATTACGAGAGGGCCCCTGCATATATACTCTGCCGTTTTTCAGTATTCCATGTTTTGGTTGGCTTCATATTGAGCCATTGTTCATTATGTAGATAAATGGTTCAGACAACCAACAAGTTAATAAATTAGACACATTGGACTGATCTTCACCATAGTTTTTTGTATAGGACTGACAAAGCCACCGTTTTCTCAATAAAGATACCCAGGTGTTGCATGCGTCTAATTGATCACATTGTTCATTACGTTCTGCCCGCTAGCAATAATCACCGGCGGTGCAACAGTGGCTCGGTTGAAAACTAACGGAAATGTGGAACATTGAAAATAGGTGCTGTATAAGCGAGGCCCTTCTATATATATATCTTATAAGACTGTTAATGGGATACAATCTGGGCCAGATTAAGGCATGGGCTTCAGGGCTGCAGCCCAGGGCCCTTCGCTGCTGGAGGGCCTCCAAAGATAAAGTGAAAAGTGTTCAAAGTTACCACTGTAAGTTTATAATTATAGTATGTTATTACATCACGTGTAGGATGAACTCTCGAATGTTGTGATTTGTTTCTTTTCCTTTTAAAATATCACTGGGGGCCTGACAGTACCTGTACCCAGAGGCCTACAAAATATTAATCCAGCTCTGGACACAATATGCGGTTTGCTTTATAGAGATGTTATTTTATTCGCCAGCGACTTGTCAAATTTGGCGAGAATGAAGTTCCTGGCGGATGGAATGTCTTCTCAGTAAATTCCTCTGAATCACAGTGTCTTACTGACATCCTTGTTGATGTGTAGTGCTATCGATACACACTTATCACAAGTCTTGGCAAAATTAATCATGCTATGATTTCAGTGTGAAGGTAGACTTTTGGACATCAATATTTGTTAAAAAAAAGGTATTTATTGGATTATGTTTATGCTGATCTGAAAATGCGATTGTTACAATGTGAAATAAAAGAGGAATGAGGCAAGAAAAATTAATAATCTTGTGTGTTAATAATGATATTCCTGACATGTTTATAATAAATATATGCAGCCTCTCCTCACTTAGCAACGTTCTCGTTTACTGACTGCTTGGACTTACAACCAGCTCTTCAACCAGTATGCAAACCTAAATAATGTATATTAGAGCTGATTTCCGCTATTATGGTTATTACAGTATACAGTACACTATTGTATAAACATTTAAAAATGTACTAAAAATGGTGCAAAGGTGATATTAAAAAATATTTAAAGATGGTTGACACAAACCCTCTACCAGTACAGTATGCTCCTTGCTGAGCAACCAATTCGCTTACTGACCTACTCTTAGAACAGAACCCTGTCATTAAGCGAGGAGAGGCTGTATAATTTTTAGCATATCGGCCATCTCCCACCATGGCAGGTTGACCCCCCCCCCCCCCAAAAAAAAAAAAAAAAAAAAAAATTAGAAACACTTTCACCATCACTCTATCAGTGTCTTGCTGACATTACAGCTCAGATGCCCCTACAGACTGTAACTATCCCCACCCTTTGCTGTACTTCCCACCTCCAGGACTTAGCTAATTGGTTTCCCTGAATCCCATTGTAAATGTTATCTCGCTCACATTCCAACATCAGCTCATCAAGTTGTAGAAAGCACTTTACTACACTCCTAACACCATCAGATAAGCCTGTTGGATGCCCAAGCTCCTCACATACAAAACCTACTATACCCCCTAACTCCAACCTTTCCTAGGATGACTCCTAACCTTCCTTCCCAACCACAGATATATACATCCTCCAAGTCAAACTATTTTGTTTCTAAGTATGCAAACCACTTCAGCAGTCCCTCCTCAGCCCCTTGGATAAGACAGAGTTACTGTCAACCTGCTTCTGGCATTTTACTCACCTTCACAAAACACAAGGTCTACAGGCAATGAAATCTAGACTATTAACCTCATGCAACTGAGTGATGGTGAAGGTGTTTCTTTGGAATTGGAAGGAGATGACAATTGAGGCAAAAAAAAAAAATGAAAGCACTACAATCAGTCTGAAACTCCATTGACAGTTATATAAGTCCTTAATGTAAAGAACGAAAAGGCACAATACAGTGACTGGAACAATACATAAATAACCTGCACATAGGAGAGAGAAACTTACGATGATGGCTCAGTCTGACTTATACTATTTACAAAGTCACAGTGTAACTTTGGACCATATACAAAATCACACTGCAGCTTTGGACAATTTACAAAATCCCACTGCAACTTTGGACAATTTACGAAATCACACTGCAACTTTGGACAGTTTACAAAGTCACACTGTGACTTTAGACAATTTACAAAGTCACACAGTGTAACTTTGTATATGGTCCAAGTTGGACCAAAGCATCATGATCTCTCTCTTATGTGCAGGTTACTTTTCCTTGTTGTACCTGACCCTTTTTATTTATGAGTAGATTTTGGCAGCCTCATTCCTTTCCTCTTATTTCTGTCATACATTATACTTATACATATTTATATTTAATATTCATTTGGAGGGGATCACTAAAACTGTAGAGGCTATATAGCTGGAGGAATTGAAGGCTACCAGGGTTGATCTAAAAAATCCGTCATTTTTGAAGCAGTTACATTTCTGTTACAAAAATTTCTTACTGTAGTAATACAGTATGTCTTATAACACTTTATTGTGGAATTTTTGGCAAATACAAGAGAAAAAGTGAATTCACAATTTAACAAAACGTGCAATAAAAGCCTTTTCACATGCTGTTCAGTTTTGGACGCACTTTTTTAATCACAATTACAAAAAATCGAATAACACAGAGGAGCTTTACGAGCAGACTAAAATTATATTGCAAATACATAAGTGCACATATGCACGAAGAGCAATACAGCGAACATATTTACCACATACTGTAACACACAATATGTATAGTTCAGTTAATATATCCCACATGGTAGTATATTGATATCTAATGTATTTGTGTGTATCCTGGTACACATATTTGGCTTGTGCATTTTCTATGTGCTTACTGTATATATAATGTCTGTGCTTCCAGGATCCTCTTGCTCAAAACATAGAGCTTTGTTTTAAATATGTTAATGAACTAGGTGCACATTTTACGAGCGAGTGAATGAGTGTGTGAGGGAATGTGTATGTGTGTGGTGTGGGTTGTGTGTACTCAATTAGTACTCACCTAGTTGAGGTTGCGGGGGTCGAGTCCGAGCTCCTGGCGTGTGTGTGTGTGTGTGTGTGTGTGGTGCGGTTGTGTGTGGTGTACTCACCTATATGTGGTTGCAGGGGTCGAGTCATAGTGTGTGTACTCACCAAATTGTGGTTGCAGGGGTCGAGACTCAGCTCCTGGCCCCGCCTCTTCACTGATCGCTACTAGGTCCTCTCTCTCTCTGCTTCCTGAGCTGTATCATACCTCTTCTTAAAACTATGTATGGTTCCTGCCTCCACTACTTCGCTTGCTAGGCTATTCCACTTCCTGACAACTCTATGACTGAAGAAATACTTCCTAATGTCCCTGTGACTCGTCTGAGTCTTCAGCTTCCAGTTGTGACCCCTTGTCCCTGTGTCCCCTCTCTGGAACATCCTATCTCTGTCCACCTTGTCTATTCCCCGCAGTATCTTGTATGTCGTTATCATGTCTCCCCTGACCCTTCTGTCCTCCAGTGTCATCAGTCCGATCTCCCTCAACCTTTCCTTGTACGACATTCCCCTGAGCTCTGGGACTAGCCTTGTTGCAAACCTTTGTACTTTCTCTAACTTCTTGACGTGCTTGACCAGGTGTGGGTTCCAGACTGGTGCTCCATACTCCAGTATGGGTCTAACGTACACAGTGTACAGTGTCTTCAACGATTCCTTATTAAGGTATCGGAACGCTATTCTCAGGTTTGCCAGGCGCCCGTATGCTGCAGCAGTTATTTGGTTGATGTGTGCCTCCGGTGATGTGCTCGGTGTTATGGTCACCCCAAGGTCTTTCTCTCTGAGTGAGGTCTGTAGTCTTTGTCCACCTAGCCTATACTCTGTCTGCGGTCTTCTTTGCCCCTCCCCAATCTTCATGACTTTGCATTTGGCTGGATTGAATTCGAGAAGCCAGTTACTGGATCACATGTCCAGCCTGTCCAGGTCTCTTTGCAGTCCTGCCTCATCCTCATCCGATTTAATTCTTCTCATCAACTTCACGTCATCTGCGAATAGGGACACTTCAGAGTCTATTCCTTCCATCATGTCGTTCACATATATAAAAAATAGCACTGGTCCTAGAACTGACCCCTGTGGGACCCCGCTCGTCACAGGCGCCCACTGTGATACCTCTTCACGTACCATGACTCGTTGCTGCCTCCCTGTCAGGTATTCCCTGATCCATTGCAGAGCCCTCCCTGTTACATGCTCCTGATCCTCCAGCTTCTGCACTAATCTCTTGTGGGGAACTGTGTCAAAGGCCTTCCTGCAGTCTAGGAAAACGCAATCTACCCACCCCTCTCTCTCGTGTCTTACTTCTGTTACCTTGTCATAAAACTCCAGGAGGTTTGTGATACAAGATTTGCCTTCCATGAACCCATGCTGGTTTTCATTTATAATCTGTTCCTTTCCAGGTGTTCGACCACTCTCCTCCTGATAATCTTCTCCATGACTTTGCACACAATACATGTCAGAGACACAGGTCTGTAGTTTAGTGCCTCGTTTCTGTTTCCTTTCTTAAATATGGGGACTACATTAGCTGTCTTCCATTTCTCAGGTAGTTGCCCAGTTTCAAGGGATGTGTTGAAGATTGTGGTTAGAGGCACGCACAGCATCTCTGCTCCTTCTCTAAGGACCCATGGGGATATGTTGTCCGGTCCCATCGCCTTTGAGGTGTCAAGGCCACTTAGGAGCTTCTTCACCTCCTTCTCAGTTGTTCGTATGTCATCCAACACTTGTTGGTATATTCCCTCTTGATGTTCCCTTTTGTGCTGTCTTCCCACAGCCCCTCCTGTCTCTACTGTGAAAACTTCCTTAAATCTCCTGTTCAGCTCCTCACATGCCTCCTGATCATTTCTTGTGAGTTCTCCACCTTCTGTCCTTAATCTGATCACCTGGTCTTTGACTGTCTTCCTCCTGATGTGGCTATACAACAGTTTCGGGTCAGTCTTGATTCTCGATGCTATGTCATTTTCATACTGTCGCTGGGCCTCCCTCCTTACCTGTGCATACTCATTCCTGGCTCTGCGACTGATCTCCCTATTTTCGTGTGTTTTCTGCCTTCTGTACTTTTTCCATTCTCTATTGCACTTTGTTTTTTGCCTCCTTACACCGTCGGGTAAACCAGGGGCTCGTTCTGGTCTTCCCGTTGTTACGTTGCCCTTGGAATAAACCTTTCCACTGCCTCCTTGCATTTTGTTGTTACATATTCCATCATTTCATTTACTGGCTTTCCTGCCAGTTCTCTGTCCCACTGGACCTCCCGCAGGAAGTTCTTCAACCCTATGTAGTCCCCTTTTATAGTCAGGCTTTTCCCATTCAACTCCTGTTATTCTCTCCACTTTCAGCTCTACTATGTATTCAAAGCACAGAACCACATGGTCGCTAGCTCCTAGGGGACTCTCATACTTGATGTCCTCAATGTCTGAGCTGCCCAGGGTGAACACAAGGTCCAATCTTGCTGGTTCATCCTCCCCTCTCACTCTGGTAGTGTCCTTAACATGTTGGTGCATGAGGTTTTCCAGCACCACGTCCAACATCTTGGCTCTCCATGTTTCGGGACCCCCATGTGGCTCCAGGTTTTCCCAGTCAATCTCCCTGTGGTTGAAATCCCCCATAACCAGCAACTTTGCTCTGCTGGAGTGAGCTCTTCTTGCCACCTCAGCAAGTGTGTCCACCATTGCTCTGTTGCTCTCTTCATATTCCTCTCTTGGCCTCCTGCAGTTCTGTGGTGGATTATACATCACTGCAATGACCACTTTGTGTGTGTGTGTGTGTGTGTGTGTGTGTGTGTGGTGTGTGTGTGTGTACTCACCTATTTGTACTCATTTATTTGTGGTTGCAGGGGTTGAGTCCTAGCTCCTGGCCTCTTCACCGGTTGCTACTGGGTCCTCTCTCTCCTCGCTCCATGAGCTTTATCATACCTCGTCTTAAAACTATGTATGGTTCCTGCCTCCACTACATCACTTTCTAGGCTATTCCACTGCCTGATAACTCTATGACTGAAGAAATACTTCCTAATATCTCTCTGACTCATCTGTGTCTTCAACTTCCAATTGTGACCTCTTGTTTCTGTGTGTGTGTGTGTGTGTGTGTGTGTGTGTGTGTGTGTGTGTGTGTGTGTGTGTGTGTGTGTGTGTGTGTGTGTGTGTGTGTGTGTGTGGTGTGGGTTGTGTGTGGTGCAGTTGGGTGTGTAAGCGTAAATGTGTGTAACTAAGTCTATACAATCATGGTGCTTTGAATTAATGTAAAGAAAAAAATCATGGTGCAGTAGTGAAAAAAG